ACTTCATCCTCAGAATGGACTTTAAGAGGTTTTCCTACTGTGACTTTTCTCTACATGCTAAGAGACATTGAAATTCGTGCTCGAGCAAAAGCGTGTTCAGGGCCTAAACACGTGTTGCAGAACCAGTAAATGTTTTCCATCGATCCTCCCTGACGACGGCTGGTGATAATAACATGGATTTAAGTCCATCACTGAGTAGATTCCGTGGGTCATTGAACTAGAATATATCCTATCTACTAACTAAGATTGATGATTACCGAAAATAAACAAATGTCTGTAGTCGTAGTGGACGGTCACTGTTATTTGTACGCTAAGTTAGAACATTATAGCACCCAACTAAACTACTTTCACTTTGGTTCAAGCTATCCGCTTTACAGTAAGACCACTAACTACTACAACTACACGTGCCTCTTTAGCCTAACTAGGGAGCACAGAAGGCTTCTCGTCATATTCATCTTTCATTTCATCCTAACTTTAATTAATGAGAGTGAAGGCACAGTAGGTAACCTTGCCACAACCCAGTTTGGCAGAGCCTGTAATGTCCCTGAATCTAATGCCATACTTGTACCAACCAGGGAACGGGATAGACCCGGATACCTGGGGAACCTCTATATCAATTCCTAAGAAATATTGTATATAATTTGTATGCGATTCCAGATTCCAAGTTAACGAAACCCGTCATCCAATTTGAAATTTGGTTCAAATATTAAAATATCCAACAAACTCTGATGAAGATGTTTACAACAGATCATTTGCTATACTTCTAGTGAGAATAAAGTCAATGCTGCTAAGATAAAGAACATCATACCATGAGAATGGGCTACATTTGTGGATAACTTTTTCATGTTAAGGAAACATGGTCTGGTATTTAGTGTCTGTAAATTACTGACTAGCGGCAAACGTACAGAAATAGCCAACAAGCAAGTACTAGAAGTTGCCACCTTGAATGCGATCAAACGAGACTTTGGTGTCGATGGTCGGGCAACATACAATAACCAAAGGCAAATCTTGACCGTAATCAATAGACAAATACATGATGAAAGAAGTCTGCGAAGAACCCAAAATCAATCGTTAAAGTCCAATATAGAAGTTAAAATTACTACGGGACAAACTCAAAGCATTTTACCAACTTTTGGCTGGTGTTTAAATAAGTTTTTTTCAAATTTTGAACTAAACCTGTTTATAAATCTGACCTTGGTATGGTATGACCTGGCTTTGGTATGGAATGTTTCATTTCTGCTTCGAAAGCCTAAAGATTAAAGATTTTTTGGAAAAATTTCAAGATAATTCTTATTTTAGCCACATACTTGGGTTAACAACGCTCAATTTACAAATCAAATTTAGACCGTTGAACCTGGGTTTTGGTCGGAATTAGAACAAAAGAGACATACAAAACGAGGAGAAGGATTCAAGAAATAATAGAGATGGTGTTAGAGAGGATATCATTCTCAATAAACTGGACGACAGTCAAGTCCAGCGCAATTGGTCTGTTTGAAGCTCATGCAGGTCTGTAGAACTATGGTCTACTATGATATTAGTACTGCTCTAATAATAGACCTAATCCTAAATTTGTAGATTCGTCATGATATAACTGCCTAATCTATAAGATCTTACGTGGAAGTCACACCATCGACTACGCCAACTCACTGTATCGTATCAATTACCAATACATGATGAAGAACGAGGTTAGGTTAGAGAAAGAACAATATATTTAATATGAATAGAGACCACGCCTGCATGGCCGAGCCATGCCACTCGATCAACTCCAGTCCATTCAATTCATTGTTCGCGCCTTCTCCATTTTTAGGTATTTCTCGGCGTTAAATATTGAATATTTATTTTCTGAGTAGTCTCGTGTTCACAGCTTTGTGGATTGTGTGGCTATTGTCCAATGCCACTACAGGTCCTATCTATTTATAATAGTTCATCAGACATTCATTACATAGGTAAAATGAGGTTTGGTCACCCAATCTACTGGAGTAGAACATCCATGAAATTCGTATAGAATAGGGCACAGAAAAGCATCTTATACTGCTACATATTTTAAGGCTCTGTTGAACCAAGTGAAAATGTATGAGTAGCCATAGGATCTAAATAAGGACTTACCTTCTGGTACGAGTACAATTCACCCAGTCATGCTGAAAGAAGCAGATCTAGCACTGTTGAGACTCCTTAGTTCAATGTCCTCACAATCATCAGGTTAAGTAGCCGTTCCAGATTATTGAAAGCTAGCACGCACCACAAAGTCAAAAATGCTTTGGCATAGACATAGCTAAGGGTTCTATACAGTGACCACGTTGTCCTAAAACCTTTGGCGGCTATTATGCAGCGGTATGCAGTGGTTTTTAGGTCCTGGCTAACGATGACTCCTGAGTCATTATGTGTCTAAACAACAATTAGCTTGATGTTATTCACCGTGTGTGTATTCGTATCTTGGTGACCAATATGGATTGTTATGTACTTGAAAGCATTTGTCGGCAACAGCCAAATTCTGGTTCATTCAGTAAATTCCGATGTTCCTTTTGAAGCCCTAAACCATGACCCCAATATTTGTATCGCTCTCCATATCTTGATACTGGTTTGTGTTCTTTAAGCACAGTTGTTTTCCACGGGATGAAGATCCCGACCCCACTCATAATCGTCCTCCTTTACCAGGGATTAGGACCAACAGTAACCCTAGAAGAGCTACAGGCGTTGTTACATCCTTATACAATCAGCATGTAAAAAAACAGACGATGACGGAAGACAAGGAAGGTAATTTACATTAAGGAGCAATCTTCGTACTGGTGGGTAGCCATGTTTTTATCGACAGAAGAAACTAGACCACTAGTCAATAGTTATTTTTTCTGGTTGTAAGACAGAACATTTGAAGACGGGATTTGCCATGGCGTTCATCCAGTCTCTTGGTAGTTTACCGTGGGTTAAAAGTAAATTAGAATATATGCTTAAGGGATTTACGATAACATTTACTAATTCCTTCAGAAACCTAAGATGCATTTCATCGGGTCCCACGAAGGATGAGAACCTTTTGACTGAACTACAGTGAGAAGTTTGTCCGACTCTTTGATGTAAACCCAAGGATGTGAAGTGCATTAGCTTTTATGAACAAATTTTCGAATACGTCTCAAGCTGTTTTCATGGAGAATTCTGGTTCTTTTGTTTGGTCTACTGAGGATGATGAGTGTGCCTACGTGTGGCGTATAATCAAGGTTTGTGACTTCAATATCATAGTGGTCTAATATGAGATATAGCTAGGATGACTCGGAATCTGGGTTGTATCCAGTCGCTAGTTTTACATGTTGCACTAGGGCACATGTGATAACCGCGTCAACTAGTCTTTGTTCAAAATAATTATATGATGACTCAGTCCTCAGCTTTTTACAGACTACCGCAGGTGTATTAAGGTCTCTTAAGTTTAAACATCGACCACTTGGTGACCAAGTCACGAAACAGACTAACGAGACCTTATTCGCCTCACAGTTCGGAATGACATAGACCAAACTGATTCCCAGCTTTGTCCTTGGCATTTCAGGTGACAACTAACTAATTCAAATGTTCCACGTTCACAGGATACGCTATTGATAACGGTAAAGAGAATAATATTTCGGATGAATAGAGCTACTTTTCCTTCTTAATGCTTCTGAGCTTTGTCGTGAAGCCTTAAAAATCAAGTTTCATGCTGTCTATAATCTGAGTCATCCGGATTTCTGTGACAGCGATTACATTCGGCTCGGCGTAGTCTATGTGTACACCTAGCTCCGACCGCTTGTAGAGCAAGCTCTGAGCACATGAGCAGCAAATACGATGAAAATTCGAACGGACTTGCGATGCACCAAATGCGATTCCAGGACCATCCTCTGTCGAAGCCTTAATATGCGAAAATTTACAATACTAACGTCCTTTTCTCCTGCATCTAACTCTAGTTTTAGTAGCTTTTCAGCTTGTTTTTTTATGCGGTCTGTGAGCGGCAAGTCTTTATGCACAAAAACGTTTGAAATCTCAAGTGTATTTCCATTTTTTACTATTAGGTTTCTATCTTAAGGATATTTAAACACCACTCTTAGCAGTGTGGTTTGATTTTTTTCAACAGTGTATGGCTACCTTGTCCGTAAACCTTCAACAAGCTGACTCCTGGAATATTATGAGGCACTAGCCAATTAGGTAGATCTTTTATTAATCCAATACCATGCTCAAAGCAAGTTCTGGATCCTGATCTTTCACTCTTCTTAAACCTACGGAAGATAATGACCTGCCATCACAAACACCCTTTGATTTCTTAACCACTGTTAGAGAGACTGGCTTTTCTATGATACATTAGGTGGTTTCTTATTCTTGATTTGTACCCAGTTATCAACTTTCACTTGAGCAGCAATCACAGTCGCGTGATGTACACTGTGAGATCCTGAGTGATTGTCGATGACTTGGATGGTTAGGTTGTTGTTTTTCCTGATAGAACCAGATCTAGCCTTACGATCAGGTTTCTGGTTCTTTCCTGCCTGCTGCCATTTAGGGTACAGGGAACAGAAAAAAAACTTTTTTCTTAAGTTTTTACTCCTAACAAGCCCTTTGCGAGTCGTTTTTTCCACCTTCGGTCAATGTAATACAATAAAATCTTGGCTTATTTGGGTTGACTTCACATCGATATGTGTATCTACGTTACGAGTACCATTTGATCCATCTAGATTACGCTCGATGATACGCATTTCATCAGCATTTACCTTTGAAAGGGCTTCGGATGATAAGCTGCTGCGTTCCAACAATAAGACCGGAAACCTTAGAATCTAGAAGTGCTACGAACAAAAAACCCTAGAAGTACATAGTGCAAAGTACTTTGGAAAAATAACGATATACTTGATATTACTTTATATGAGATTAGTTAGATAATAGTGAACAATAATAGTCTTGGTGCGTAACAATAGATCAACACCATAAATCTAACTCAGAGTAATCATACCACTTACCTTTAAAATAGAGCGCGAGATAAGGTGGTTGCTAGATGGATTCGTCATTACTAAACGAACATCAGCAAACAGAAAGCAGACGCAACAAACATAAACGAACTACTATTTAGAAATCAGTTCGGATGTTGGATAAAAGAAAATCTGTTTGATTACTTCAAAAGTCAATTGAAACATAGTATTGCCGTTGACGTAGAAGTTGAAACCGCGCACATCGAGGAATCGTGTTACCCATGCAGCATGCAGCACTGTCAAGTTAGTAAAATCGTAAGTCGGTAGTTGAACCACCATAAACTGAATCATTTGCCTCCATAATACATGATATTCATGTTCCAAGAAATCCAACCATGAAATATACTTCAAATAGTAGGTATTGTAAACCCGTCAAAAACAATGTAAAATCCATGAAATACAAAATATACAGATAATACTCTCAACAGAAAGGACAGCATACCTCAAGAAATGTCCTTAATAAAATGACATTGCTATGGGTCCATTTATCGGGACAACCAATTATGGTGTGACTTGACAGCTTGACTTAGTGGTGTGTGAAAGAGAAAATGTGTTTGGTGTATTGTATGTTAAAATGTGTTTTGTTGTTGTATTTTTGTAGATGTACGATAGTCGTCCAGTGAATGAGCTGATGATAACGTGGATGATGACGTGGACTTGACCGAGGAGAATGGAGACGGTGGGGACTTCTGTGAGTGATGATTGGGCGTTATTTTCGGGTGAGTAGTGGATGAGTGAGTGATGTGCGTTGCAATTTTATTGTTTACTGATGATGACTACGAGATGACGAGTGTGAGATGTTGATCAGTGACCGCTCACAACGAGGCATTTGTCTGAGAGTGTGATAGTTGTGCAATTCGCGTTTGTACTGATTGATGGATATATACTAACTAGTGATTTGTGTTTTGGTGTTTACATTTTCAGGAACTGAACATGTTGTTGAACGGGGAGATAGATGGTGACGACTGAGAGATCAGGTGAGTGGATGATGGTGGTGTTTGTGATGCAATTGATTTATTACGAGTTGCATATGAATGTGTGTATATGTCTGTAGTAATGGTGAAATGTTATGTGGGATGTGGGAGATGTTGTTGGTGAAAGGAACACGTGTACCCAGAAATACGAGGAAGTGATGACTGTGTTATGTTGAATGGTTCGAAGATGAGACGGTATTTTGAGCCTGTTATTTTGTAGAGGAAACGTTTTACTGTGGATAAATTTGAAATGATGCAAATACATATCCACCGATTCTTTGATTATCTGAATCGATTGTGATGTGTGCAACACCATCTGATATAGTGCTTTGTTAATTTATATTTATATACATATATGTCATTTGTGTTCATTGGAGTAAGGAGATGTTTTTTTCTTGTTTGTTTATTGATTGTTTAGGTGAGTGGACGAGTTGGTGCATCGTGTTGTGGAGTACATATTGGTGTAATGATGTCAATGAACCATCTTTCGACTGATGACTTTGTCATCTGTTGACAGTGTACAACTGAGGAGTGTGTATTTCATTGTTGTTAATGTTGGGTGTTGATTGTGTGTGTATATGTTTTGTTGAATATATATATATATATATATATATATGTATGGTTAAACGATCGAACTACCTGTGTTTGTTATTAATTGTTTAGGCATGAAGCAATGAATGAAACACTGGAGGAAGGAAGGAAGTACTGAGGGTGGAAGTATTGTACAGTTGGAGAGTGAAGGAGGACAATGAATAATGATAAGTAAGGGATATGTGTGATTTGTTGTTGTGTTTATTTGTGTGTCTGGCTGACTGATAGCGAGTGAGTGGTGCAATATGATGAACACTATCAGATCCAACTTTGAGTATGGACAATGATGAATGTGTGTATACGAGCTTTTTAACTCTGACGTGAGTGTTGTGTGTGTTAGTGATGGTGTGATAATAACGTGAAATGATTGTAATTTATTTCATAGTGTTATATTTTTTTATTGTGCTGTGATTTCAGGAGGCGATGTACACGGACCGGAGATCGTGGGAATCGAAGTGTTAATATGTTAGTGTCGTGTTGGTTGAATTGTGTTGGTGGTTGTCGTTGCCATCGATCGGTTGAGTAGTAGTCACATTGTGCTAGTAAAGAGGTAAGTGGGTGGTGTTGTTTTATTGAATCGTAACGTATAGTATATAGTGTATTGATCGTGTTGTTTGTAGAATAAGTGTAAATTATTAATGATGATAATCATAGGGCAGACTCTGATGTGGACGATGTCCGTGTGATTACAAGTTCTATATGTCTGAAATAAATATTGTTGTACACATATTTAGTGTATGTTTGTGTGGTTTTGATACGAGTAGATAATGTGTGTAAATGGTGTTATTTGTTTTGTATTGATGGATATAGGTGTTGGTGTTGGTGTTGAGGTTGAGGTTCGTTGTGTCGTGACGAGTGGATTTGTGAAGGATGAATGAACTGACGGGCAGACGGTTTGGTGTTAATAATTGTTGATGTGAAGATGACAGTTGACAAGAGGTGAGTTTTGATTTTCTAATGATATTGAGAGTGTCGGGGGGAGAAGTGATGGGATTTGATGTTTGTGTGTAATTGATAATGGATCGATAAATATGTGATGATATCTACATGCACCACTATGAACTGTTTGTTTTTGAACAAATAGTGTTGTATTAGATTTTGATCTGAAGAATGCAGAGTGGTCGATGGAGCGATGTTACTTTACTGTTTAATGATATTAGCGATTTATAATGTTAATATTTGTGAATTGAGTGAATTGAATGTTTGTTTGTTTGTTTAATGTTTTTCAGATGGTGTTAATGAGTCTTTTGGAGTTGATGGAGTGGTAGGAAGATGAGATGAAATGATATGAGATATTTGATTAGTGGGTAAGTTGAGTGGAGTAATTGTTTTGATTGTGTGACGAAGTGGTATGTGTGTTTTTGACGATATATAATCAATGAATTGATTGTATATATACTGTTTATTTATGAATGGATGAATATGTGTGCGAGTGAGTGAGTGAGTGAGTGAGCGAGCCAGCGAGCAATTGATTGTCGACTAGTTGATTAGTTGATGGTGATGATATGGTGTGATGTTGATTGTTTGTGGTGAAGTAAATGTGTTGCTGTATAAAACTCACTAGTATATCTAGTGTATCCTGTCTACAGCTACAGTGGTATGTGCATATTAACCACAGTGTGTGAATATGCATAGAAAGAAGTGTTGTTCATGTATTTTTTTTTAAAGAGTGTAGTATGTATATAGTTAGTAAGTGTAGTAGTAGTAGTGTTTGTTGTTGTTTATTGGGTGTAGTGATTGTCAATGAATGTGTTAGTAGTAGTGTTAGTGTTTAATGGTGATGTTGTATTTAGTGATGAGGTAGTTAGGTGCTTTTGTTGTGTTGTGTGGTGTAGGATGTGCTCAGACTGAAGTGTGATCGATTACCTACCGGTGATTAATTGATTGATTGATTGATTGATTGATTGATGGTGATTGTGGTGGTGTTATTTGCATGTGTTTGTGTGTATGTTGATATTGTTGGTAAGAAGATAGATGATGAATGGAAAGGCGACGGGCGAACTGAGAAATATGCAGTTGTGCTGATTCGCCGAGTTCTGATTTTGTGTAAACGAGTGTTGGTACTGTGATTGATTGTGTTTGACAAATTGTAATTGTTTTTGGATAATAGATATTTGCACTGTGTTTTATTGTATTTTCGTTTTATCAGGTGCGTGAGCGAGCAAGTAAGCGTGTGGAGATAGAGCGGATGTGTTGGTGATTGCCGGATGGTTATGAGATAGGGAGTTGGGTAATCAACCGGGTGAGTGTGCGATTATATGCGTGAATGTGCATGTATGTGTTTCTATGTTTTGCTATATGATGTGTTACCTACATTGTGTAATCAGTTTGAAATGAACTGAAATGGTGCTGAATAATGAAGAATAATGATGATGTCAATATTGGAGTTTGTTTTATAATTAATAATAATAATAATAATAATATTGTTGTTGTTGTTATTATTGTTCAGGTATACACTGGTGGGTGACCACCTCCGTTGGGTGTGACCAGTGAGGGAATAATTGTTTACAATGTGAGATGTTGAGATAGGTGAGTGTTGTGTGCTTGTTTTGTTCGAGTGTTTTGGTTACATTGTAAATAGTAAATACTGGTGTAATAAGTAATAAGTAGTATCGGATGATATAATGATGAATGTTTATCTTTCGGGTCACCAGTTATGGTGTGAGTTGACATCTGACTTAGTGGTGTGTGAAAGAGAAAATGTGTTTGGTGTATTGTATGTTAAAATGTGTTTTGTTGTTGTATTTTTGTAGATGTACGATAGTCGTCCAGTGAATGAGCTGATGATAACGTGGATGATGACGTGGACTTGACCGAGGAGAATGGAGACGGTGGGGACTTCTGTGAGTGATGATTGGGCGTTATTTTCGGGTGAGTAGTGGATGAGTGAGTGATGTGCGTTGTAATTTTATTGTTTACTGATGATGACTACGAGATGACGAGTGTGAGATGTTGATCAGTGACCGCTCACAACGAGGCATTTGTCTGAGAGTGTGATAGTTGTGTAATTCGCGTTTGTACTGATTGATGGATATATACTAACTAGTGATTTGTGTTTTGGTGTTTACATTTTCAGGAACTGAACATGTTGTGGAACGGGGAGATAGATGGTGACGACTGAGAGATCAGGTGAGTGGATGATGGTGGTGTTTGTGATGCAATTGATTTATTACGAGTTGCATATGAATGTGTGTATATGTCTGTAGTAATGGTGAAATGTTATGTGGGATGTGGGAGATGTTGTTGGTGAAAGGAACACGTGTACCCAGAAATACGAGGAAGTGATGACTGTGTTATGTTGAATGGTTCGAAGATGAGACGGTATTTTGAGCCTGTTATTTTGTAGAGGAAACGTTTTACTGTGGATAAATTTGAAATGATGCAAATACATATCCACCGATTCTTTGATTATCTGAATCGATTGTGATGTGTGCAACACCATCTGATATAGTGCTTTGTTAATTTATATTTATATACATATATGTCATTTGTGTTCATTGGAGTAAGGAGATGTTTTTTTCTTGTTTGTTTATTGATTGTTTAGGTGAGTGGACGAGTTGGTGCATCGTGTTGTGGAGTACATATTGGTGTAATGATGTCAATGAACCATCTTTCGACTGATGACTTTGTCATCTGTTGACAGTGTACAACTGAGGAGTGTGTATTTCATTGTTGTTAATGTTGGGTGTTGATTGTGTGTGTATATGTTTTGTTGAATATATATATATATATATATATATATATATATATGTATGGTTAAACGATCGAACTACCTGTGTTTGTTATTAATTGTTTAGGCATGAAGCAATGAATGAAACACTGGAGGAAGGAAGGAAGTACTGAGGGTGGAAGTATTGTACAGTTGGAGAGTGAAGGAGGACAATGAATAATGATAAGTAAGGGATATGTGTGATTTGTTGTTGTGTTTATTTGTGTGTCTGGCTGACTGATAGCGAGTGAGTGGTGCAATATGATGAACACTATCAGATCCAACTTTGAGTATGGACAATGATGAATGTGTGTATACGAGCTTTTTAACTCTGACGTGAGTGTTGTGTGTGTTAGTGATGGTGTGATAATAACGTGAAATGATTGTAATTTATTTCATAGTGTTATATTTTTTTATTGTGCTGTGATTTCAGGAGGCGATGTACACGGACCGGAGATCGTGGGAATCGAAGTGTTAATATGTTAGTGTCGTGTTGGTTGAATTGTGTTGGTGGTTGTCGTTGCCATCGATCGGTTGAGTAGTAGTCACATTGTGCTAGTAAAGAGGTAAGTGGGTGGTGTTGTTTTATTGAATCGTAACGTATAGTATATAGTGTATTGATCGTGTTGTTTGTAGAATAAGTGTAAATTATTAATGATGATAATCATAGGGCAGACTCTGATGTGGACGATGTCCGTGTGATTACAAGTTCTATATGTCTGAAATAAATATTGTTGTACACATATTTAGTGTATGTTTGTGTGGTTTTGATACGAGTAGATAATGTGTGTAAATGGTGTTATTTGTTTTGTATTGATGGATATAGGTGTTGGTGTTGGTGTTGAGGTTGAGGTTCGTTGTGTCGTGACGAGTGGATTTGTGAAGGATGAATGAACTGACGGGCAGACGGTTTGGTGTTAATAATTGTTGATGTGAAGATGACAGTTGACAAGAGGTGAGTTTTGATTTTCTAATGATATTGAGAGTGTCGGGGGGAGAAGTGATGGGATTTGATGTTTGTGTGTAATTGATAATGGATCGATAAATATGTGATGATATCTACATGCACCACTATGAACTGTTTGTTTTTGAACAAATAGTGTTGTATTAGATTTTGATCTGAAGAATGCAGAGTGGTCGATGGAGCGATGTTACTTTACTGTTTAATGATATTAGCGATTTATAATGTTAATATTTGTGAATTGAGTGAATTGAATGTTTGTTTGTTTGTTTAATGTTTTTCAGATGGTGTTAATGAGTCTTTTGGAGTTGATGGAGTGGTAGGAAGATGAGATGAAATGATATGAGATATTTGATTAGTGGGTAAGTTGAGTGGAGTAATTGTTTTGATTGTGTGACGAAGTGGTATGTGTGTTTTTGACGATATATAATCAATGAATTGATTGTATATATACTGTTTATTTATGAATGGATGAATATGTGTGCGAGTGAGTGAGTGAGTGAGTGAGTGAGCGAGCCAGCGAGCAATTGATTGTCGACTAGTTGATTAGTTGATGGTGATGATATGGTGTGATGTTGATTGTTTGTGGTGAAGTAAATGTGTTGCTGTATAAAACTCACTAGTATATCTAGTGTATCCTGTCTACAGCTACAGTGGTATGTGCATATTAACCACAGTGTGTGAATATGCATAGAAAGAAGTGTTGTTCATGTATTTTTTTTTAAAGAGTGTAGTATGTATATAGTTAGTAAGTGTAGTAGTAGTAGTGTTTGTTGTTGTTTATTGGGTGTAGTGATTGTCAATGAATGTGTTAGTAGTAGTGTTAGTGTTTAATGGTGATGTTGTATTTAGTGATGAGGTAGTTAGGTGCTTTTGTTGTGTTGTGTGGTGTAGGATGTGCTCAGACTGAAGTGTGATCGATTACCTACCGGTGATTAATTGATTGATTGATTGATTGATTGATTGATTGATTGATTGATTGATGGTGATTGTGGTGGTGTTATTTGCATGTGTTTGTGTGTATGTTGATATTGTTGGTAAGAAGATAGATGATGAATGGAAAGGCGACGGGCGAACTGAGAAATATGCAGTTGTGCTGATTCGCCGAGTTCTGATTTTGTGTAAACGAGTGTTGGTACTGTGATTGATTGTGTTTGACAAATTGTAATTGTTTTTGGATAATAGATATTTGCACTGTGTTTTATTGTATTTTCGTTTTATCAGGTGCGTGAGCGAGCAAGTAAGCGTGTGGAGATAGAGCGGATGTGTTGGTGATTGCCGGATGGTTATGAGATAGGGAGTTGGGTAATCAACCGGGTGAGTGTGCGATTATATGCGTGAATGTGCATGTATGTGTTTCTATGTTTTGCTATATGATGTGTTACCTACATTGTGTAATCAGTTTGAAATGAACTGAAATGGTGCTGAATAATGAAGAATAATGATGATGTCAATATTGGAGTTTGTTTTATAATTAATAATAATAATAATAATATTGTTGTTGTTGTTATTATTGTTCAGGTATACACTGGTGGGTGACCACCTCCGTTGGGTGTGACCAGTGAGGGAATAATTGTTTACAATGTGAGATGTTGAGATAGGTGAGTGTTGTGTGCTTGTTTTGTTCGAGTGTTTTGGTTACATTGTAAATAGTAAATACTGGTGTAATAAGTAATAAGTAGTATCGGATGATATAATGATGAATGTTTATCTTTCGGGTCACCAGTTATGGTGTGAGTTGACATCTGACTTAGTGGTGTGTGAAAGAGAAAATGTGTTTGGTGTATTGTATGTTAAAATGTGTTTTGTTGTTGTATTTTTGTAGATGTACGATAGTCGTCCAGTGAATGAGCTGATGATAACGTGGATGATGACGTGGACTTGACCGAGGAGAATGGAGACGGTGGGGACTTCTGTGAGTGATGATTGGGCGTTATTTTCGGGTGAGTAGTGGATGAGTGAGTGATGTGCGTTGTAATTTTATTGTTTACTGATGATGACTACGAGATGACGAGTGTGAGATGTTGATCAGTGACCGCTCACAACGAGGCATTTGTCTGAGAGTGTGATAGTTGTGTAATTCGCGTTTGTACTGATTGATGGATATATACTAACTAGTGATTTGTGTTTTGGTGTTTACATTTTCAGGAACTGAACATGTTGTGGAACGGGGAGATAGATGGTGACGACTGAGAGATCAGGTGAGTGGATGATGGTGGTGTTTGTGATGCAATTGATTTATTACGAGTTGCATATGAATGTGTGTATATGTCTGTAGTAATGGTGAAATGTTATGTGGGATGTGGGAGATGTTGTTGGTGAAAGGAACACGTGTACCCAGAAATACGAGGAAGTGATGACTGTGTTATGTTGAATGGTTCGAAGATGAGACGGTATTTTGAGCCTGTTATTTTGTAGAGGAAACGTTTTACTGTGGATAAATTTGAAATGATGCAAATACATATCCACCGATTCTTTGATTATCTGAATCGATTGTGATGTGTGCAACACCATCTGATATAGTGCTTTGTTAATTTATATTTATATACATATATGTCATTTGTGTTCATTGGAGTAAGGAGATGTTTTTTTCTTGTTTGTTTATTGATTGTTTAGGTGAGTGGACGAGTTGGTGCATCGTGTTGTGGAGTACATATTGGTGTAATGATGTCAATGAACCATCTTTCGACTGATGACTTTGTCATCTGTTGACAGTGTACAACTGAGGAGTGTGTATTTCATTGTTGTTAATGTTGGGTGTTGATTGTGTGTGTATATGTTTTGTTGAATATATATATATATATATATATATGTATGGTTAAACGATCGAACTACCTGTGTTTGTTATTAATTGTTTAGGCATGAAGCAATGAATGAAACACTGGAGGAAGGAAGGAAGTACTGAGGGTGGAAGTATTGTACAGTTGGAGAGTGAAGGAGGACAATGAATAATGATAAGTAAGGGATATGTGTGATTTGTTGTTGTGTTTATTTGTGTGTCTGGCTGACTGATAGCGAGTGAGTGGTGCAATATGATGAACACTATCAGATCCAACTTTGAGTATGGACAATGATGAATGTGTGTATACGAGCTTTTTAACTCTGACGTGAGTGTTGTGTGTGTTAGTGATGGTGTGATAATAACGTGAAATGATTGTAATTTATTTCATAGTGTTATATTTTTTTATTGTGCTGTGATTTCAGGAGGCGATGTACACGGACCGGAGATCGTGGGAATCGAAGTGTTAATATGTTAGTGTCGTGTTGGTTGAATTGTGTTGGTGGTTGTCGTTGCCATCGATCGGTTGAGTAGTAGTCACATTGTGCTAGTAAAGAGGTAAGTGGGTGGTGTTGTTTTATTGAATCGTAACGTATAGTATATAGTGTATTGATCGTGTTGTTTGTAGAATAAGTGTAAATTATTAATGATGATAATCATAGGGCAGACTCTGATGTGGACGATGTCCGTGTGATTACAAGTTCTATATGTCTGAAATAAATATTGTTGTACACATATTTAGTGTATGTTTGTGTGGTTTTGATACGAGTAGATAATGTGTGTAAATGGTGTTATTTGTTTTGTATTGATGGATATAGGTGTTGGTGTTGGTGTTGAGGTTGAGGTTCGTTGTGTCGTGACGAGTGGATTTGTGAAGGATGAATGAACTGACGGGCAGACGGTTTGGTGTTAATAATTGTTGATGTGAAGATGACAGTTGACAAGAGGTGAGTTTTGATTTTCTAATGATATTGAGAGTGTCGGGGGGAGAAGTGATGGGATTTGATGTTTGTGTGTAATTGATAATGGATCGATAAATATGTGATGATATCTACATGCACCACTATGAACTGTTTGTTTTTGAACAAATAGTGTTGTATTAGATTTTGATCTGAAGAATGCAGAGTGGTCGATGGAGCGATGTTACTTTACTGTTTAATGATATTAGCGATTTATAATGTTAATATTTGTGAATTGAGTGAATTGAATGTTTGTTTGTTTGTTTAATGTTTTTCAGATGGTGTTAATGAGTCTTTTGGAGTTGATGGAGTGGTAGGAAGATGAGATGAAATGATATGAGATATTTGATTAGTGGGTAAGTTGAGTGGAGTAATTGTTTTGATTGTGTGACGAAGTGGTATGTGTGTTTTTGACGATATATAATCAATGAATTGATTGTATATATACTGTTTATTTATGAATGGATGAATATGTGTGCGAGTGAGTGAGTGAGTGAGTGAGCGAGCCAGCGAGCAATTGATTGTCGACTAGTTGATTAGTTGATGGTGATGATATGGTGTGATGTTGATTGTTTGTGGTGAAGTAAATGTGTTGCTGTATAAAACTCACTAGTATATCTAGTGTATCCTGTCTACAGCTACAGTGGTATGTGCATATTAACCACAGTGTGTGAATATGCATAGAAAGAAGTGTTGTTCATGTATTTTTTTTTAAAGAGTGTAGTATGTATATAGTTAGTAAGTGTAGTAGTAGTAGTGTTTGTTGTTGTTTATTGGGTGTAGTGATTGTCAATGAATGTGTTAGTAGTAGTGTTAGTGTTTAATGGTGATGTTGTATTTAGTGATGAGGTAGTTAGGTGCTTTTGTTGTGTTGTGTGGTGTAGGATGTGCTCAGACTGAAGTGTGATCGATTACCTACCGGTGATTAATTGATTGATTGATTGATTGATTGATTGATTGATTGATTGATGGTGATTGTGGTGGTGTTATTTGCATGTGTTTGTGTGTATGTTGATATTGTTGGTAAGAAGATAGATGATGAATGGAAAGGCGACGGGCGAACTGAGAAATATGCAGTTGTGCTGATTCGCCGAGTTCTGATTTTGTGTAAACGAGTGTTGGTACTGTGATTGATTGTGTTTGACAAATTGTAATTGTTTTTGGATAATAGATATTTGCACTGTGTTTTATTGTATTTTCGTTTTATCAGGTGCGTGAGCGAGCAAGTAAGCGTGTGGAGATAGAGCGGATGTGTTGGTGATTGCCGGATGGTTATGAGATAGGGAGTTGGGTAATCAACCGGGTGAGTGTGCGATTATATGCGTGAATGTGCATGTATGTGTTTCTATGTTTTGCTATATGATGTGTTACCTACATTGTGTAATCAGTTTGAAATGAACTGAAATGGTGCTGAATAATGAAGAATAATGATGATGTCAATATTGGAGTTTGTTTTATAATTAATAATAATAATAATAATAATAATATTGTTGTTGTTGTTATTATTGTTCAGGTATACACTGGTGGGTGACCACCTCCGTTGGGTGTGACCAGTGAGGGAATAATTGTTTACAATGTGAGATGTTGAGATAGGTGAGTGTTGTGTGCTTGTTTTGTTCGAGTGTTTTGGTTACATTGTAAATAGTAAATACTGGTGTAATAAGTAATAAGTAGTATCGGATGATATAATGATGAATGTTTATCTTTCGGGTCACCAGTTATGGTGTGAGTTGACATCTGACTTAGTGGTGTGTGAAAGAGAAAATGTGTTTGGTGTATTGTATGTTAAAATGTGTTTTGTTGTTGTATTTTTGTAGATGTACGATAGTCGTCCAGTGAATGAGCTGATGATAACGTGGATGATGACGTGGACTTGACCGAGGAGAATGGAGACGGTGGGGACTTCTGTGAGTGATGATTGGGCGTTATTTTCGGGTGAGTAGTGGATGAGTGAGTGATGTGCGTTGTAATTTTATTGTTTACTGATGATGACTACGAGATGACGAGTGTGAGATGTTGATCAGTGACCGCTCACAACGAGGCATTTGTCTGAGAGTGTGATAGTTGTGTAATTCGCGTTTGTACTGATTGATGGATATATACTAACTAGTGATTTGTGTTTTGGTGTTTACATTTTCAGGAACTGAACATGTTGTGGAACGGGGAGATAGATGGTGACGACTGAGAGATCAGGTGAGTGGATGATGGTGGTGTTTGTGATGCAATTGATTTATTACGAGTTGCATATGAATGTGTGTATATGTCTGTAGTAATGGTGAAATGTTATGTGGGATGTGGGAGATGTTGTTGGTGAAAGGAACACGTGTACCCAGAAATACGAGGAAGTGATGACTGTGTTATGTTGAATGGTTCGAAGATGAGACGGTATTTTGAGCCTGTTATTTTGTAGAGGAAACGTTTTACTGTGGATAAATTTGAAATGATGCAAATACATATCCACCGATTCTTTGATTATCTGAATCGATTGTGATGTGTGCAACACCATCTGATATAGTGCTTTGTTAATTTATATTTATATACATATATGTCATTTGTGTTCATTGGAGTAAGGAGATGTTTTTTTCTTGTTTGTTTATTGATTGTTTAGGTGAGTGGACGAGTTGGTGCATCGTGTTGTGGAGTACATATTGGTGTAATGATGTCAATGAACCATCTTTCGACTGATGACTTTGTCATCTGTTGACAGTGTACAACTGAGGAGTGTGTATTTCATTGTTGTTAATGTTGGGTGTTGATTGTGTGTGTATATGTTTTGTTGAATATATATATATATATATATATATATATATATGTATGGTTAAACGATCGAACTACCTGTGTTTGTTATTAATTGTTTAGGCATGAAGCAATGAATGAAACACTGGAGGAAGGAAGGAAGTACTGAGGGTGGAAGTATTGTACAGTTGGAGAGTGAAGGAGGACAATGAATAATGATAAGTAAGGGATATGTGTGATTTGTTGTTGTGTTTATTTGTGTGTCTGGCTGACTGATAGCGAGTGAGTGGTGCAATATGATGAACACTATCAGATCCAACTTTGAGTATGGACAATGATGAGTGTGTGTATACGAGCTTTTTAACTCTGACGTGAGTGTTGTGTGTGTTAGTGATGGTGTGATAATAACGTGAAATGATTGTAATTTATTTCATAGTGTTATATTTTTTTATTGTGCTGTGATTTCAGGAGGCGATGTACACGGACCGGAGATCGTGGGAATCGAAGTGTTAATATGTTAGTGTCGTGTTGGTTGAATTGTGTTGGTGGTTGTCGTTGCCATCGATCGGTTGAGTAGTAGTCACATTGTGCTAGTAAAGAGGTAAGTGGGTGGTGTTGTTTTATTGAATCGTAACGTATAGTATATAGTGTATTGATCGTGTTGTTTGTAGAATAAGTGTAAATTATTAATGATGATAATCATAGGGCAGACTCTGATGTGGACGATGTCCGTGTGATTACAAGTTCTATATGTCTGAAATAAATATTGTTGTACACATATTTAGTGTATGTTTGTGTGGTTTTGATACGAGTAGATAATGTGTGTAAATGGTGTTATTTGTTTTGTATTGATGGATATAGGTGTTGGTGTTGGTGTTGAGGTTGAGGTTCGTTGTGTCGTGACGAGTGGATTTGTGAAGGATGAATGAACTGACGGGCAGACGGTTTGGTGTTAATAATTGTTGATGTGAAGATGACAGTTGACAAGAGGTGAGTTTTGATTTTCTAATGATATTGAGAGTGTCGGGGGGAGAAGTGATGGGATTTGATGTTTGTGTGTAATTGATAATGGATCGATAAATATGTGATGATATCTACATGCACCACTATGAACTGTTTGTTTTTGAACAAATAGTGTTGTATTAGATTTTGATCTGAAGAATGCAGAGTGGTCGATGGAGCGATGTTACTTTACTGCTTAATGATATTAGCGATTTATAATGTTAATATTTGTGAATTGAGTGAATTGAATGTTTGTTTGTTTGTTTAATGTTTTTCAGATGGTGTTAATGAGTCTTTTGGAGTTGATGGAGTGGTAGGAAGATGAGATGAAATGATATGAGATATTTGATTAGTGGGTAAGTTGAGTGGAGTAATTGTTTTGATTGTGTGACGAAGTGGTATGTGTGTTTTTGACGATATATAATCAATGAATTGATTGTATATATACTGTTTATTTATGAATGGATGAATATGTGTGCGAGTGAGTGAGTGAGTGAGTGAGCGAGCCAGCGAGCAATTGATTGTCGACTAGTTGATTAGTTGATGGTGATGATATGGTGTGATGTTGATTGTTTGTGGTGAAGTAAATGTGTTGCTGTATAAAACTCACTAGTATATCTAGTGTATCCTGTCTACAGCTACAGTGGTATGTGCATATTAACCACAGTGTGTGAATATGCATAGAAAGAAGTGTTGTTCATGTATTTTTTTTTAAAGAGTGTAGTATGTATATAGTTAGTAAGTGTAGTAGTAGTAGTGTTTGTTGTTGTTTATTGGGTGTAGTGATTGTCAATGAATGTGTTAGTAGTAGTGTTAGTGTTTAATGGTGATGTTGTATTTAGTGATGAGGTAGTTAGGTGCTTTTGTTGTGTTGTGTGGTGTAGGATGTGCTCAGACTGAAGTGTGATCGATTACCTACCGGTGATTAATTGATTGATTGATTGATTGATTGATTGATTGATTGATTGATGGTGATTGTGGTGGTGTTATTTGCATGTGTTTGTGTGTATGTTGATATTGTTGGTAAGAAGATAGATGATGAATGGAAAGGCGACGGGCGAACTGAGAAATATGCAGTTGTGCTGATTCGCCGAGTTCTGATTTTGTGTAAACGAGTGTTGGTACTGTGATTGATTGTGTTTGACAAATTGTAATTGTTTTTGGATAATAGATATTTGCACTGTGTTTTATTGTATTTTCGTTTTATCAGGTGCGTGAGCGAGCAAGTAAGCGTGTGGAGATAGAGCGGATGTGTTGGTGATTGCCGGATGGTTATGAGATAGGGAGTTGGGTAATCAACCGGGTGAGTGTGCGATTATATGCGTGAATGTGCATGTATGTGTTTCTATGTTTTGCTATATGATGTGTTACCTACATTGTGTAATCAGTTTGAAATGAACTGAAATGGTGCTGAATAATGAAGAATAATGATGATGTCAATATTGGAGTTTGTTTTATAATTAATAATAATAATAATAATAATAATATTGTTGTTGTTGTTATTATTGTTCAGGTATACACTGGTGGGTGACCACCTCCGTTGGGTGTGACCAGTGAGGGAATAATTGTTTACAATGTGAGATGTTGAGATAGGTGAGTGTTGTGTGCTTGTTTTGTTCGAGTGTTTTGGTTACATTGTAAATAGTAAATACTGGTGTAATAAGTAATAAGTAGTATCGGATGATATAATGATGAATGTTTATCTTTCGGGTCACCAGTTATGGTGTGAGTTGACATCTGACTTAGTGGTGTGTGAAAGAGAAAATGTGTTTGGTGTATTGTATGTTAAAATGTGTTTTGTTGTTGTATTTTTGTAGATGTACGATAGTCGTCCAGTGAATGAGCTGATGATAACGTGGATGATGACGTGGACTTGACCGAGGAGAATGGAGACGGTGGGGACTTCTGTGAGTGATGATTGGGCGTTATTTTCGGGTGAGTAGTGGATGAGTGAGTGATGTGCGTTGTAATTTTATTGTTTACTGATGATGACTACGAGATGACGAGTGTGAGATGTTGATCAGTGACCGCTCACAACGAGGCATTTGTCTGAGAGTGTGATAGTTGTGCAATTCGCGTTTGTACTGATTGATGGATATATACTAACTAGTGATTTGTGTTTTGGTGTTTACATTTTCAGGAACTGAACATGTTGTGGAACGGGGAGATAGATGGTGACGACTGAGAGATCAGGTGAGTGGATGATGGTGGTGTTTGTGATGCAATTGATTTATTACGAGTTGCATATGAATGTGTGTATATGTCTGTAGTAATGGTGAAATGTTATGTGGGATGTGGGAGATGTTGTTGGTGAAAGGAACACGTGTACCCAGAAATACGAGGAAGTGATGACTGTGTTATGTTGAATGGTTCGAAGATGAGACGGTATTTTGAGCCTGTTATTTTGTAGAGGAAACGTTTTACTGTGGATAAATTTGAAATGATGCAAATACATATCCACCGATTCTTTGATTATCTGAATCGATTGTGATGTGTGCAACACCATCTGATATAGTGCTTTGTTAATTTATATTTATATACATATATGTCATTTGTGTTCATTGGAGTAAGGAGATGTTTTTTTCTTGTTTGTTTATTGATTGTTTAGGTGAGTGGACGAGTTGGTGCATCGTGTTGTGGAGTACATATTGGTGTAATGATGTCAATGAACCATCTTTCGACTGATGACTTTGTCATCTGTTGACAGTGTACAACTGAGGAGTGTGTATTTCATTGTTGTTAATGTTGGGTGTTGATTGTGTGTGTATATGTTTTGTTGAATATATATATATATATATATATATATATATATATATGTATGGTTAAACGATCGAACTACCTGTGTTTGTTATTAATTGTTTAGGCATGAAGCAATGAATGAAACACTGGAGGAAGGAAGGAAGTACTGAGGGTGGAAGTATTGTACAGTTGGAGAGTGAAGGAGGACAATGAATAATGATAAGTAAGGGATATGTGTGATTTGTTGTTGTGTTTATTTGTGTGTCTGGCTGACTGATAGCGAGTGAGTGGTGCAATATGATGAACACTATCAGATCCAACTTTGAGTATGGACAATGATGAATGTGTGTATACGAGCTTTTTAACTCTGACGTGAGTGTTGTGTGTGTTAGTGATGGTGTGATAATAACGTGAAATGATTGTAATTTATTTCATAGTGTTATATTTTTTTATTGTGCTGTGATTTCAGGAGGCGATGTACACGGACCGGAGATCGTGGGAATCGAAGTGTTAATATGTTAGTGTCGTGTTGGTTGAATTGTGTTGGTGGTTGTCGTTGCCATCGATCGGTTGAGTAGTAGTCACATTGTGCTAGTAAAGAGGTAAGTGGGTGGTGTTGTTTTATTGAATCGTAACGTATAGTATATAGTGTATTGATCGTGTTGTTTGTAGAATAAGTGTAAATTATTAATGATGATAATCATAGGGCAGACTCTGATGTGGACGATGTCCGTGTGATTACAAGTTCTATATGTCTGAAATAAATATTGTTGTACACATATTTAGTGTATGTTTGTGTGGTTTTGATACGAGTAGATAATGTGTGTAAATGGTGTTATTTGTTTTGTATTGATGGATATAGGTGTTGGTGTTGGTGTTGAGGTTGAGGTTCGTTGTGTCGTGACGAGTGGATTTGTGAAGGATGAATGAACTGACGGGCAGACGGTTTGGTGTTAATAATTGTTGATGTGAAGATGACAGTTGACAAGAGGTGAGTTTTGATTTTCTAATGATATTGAGAGTGTCGGGGGGAGAAGTGATGGGATTTGATGTTTGTGTGTAATTGATAATGGATCGATAAATATGTGATGATATCTACATGCACCACTATGAACTGTTTGTTTTTGAACAAATAGTGTTGTATTAGATTTTGATCTGAAGAATGCAGAGTGGTCGATGGAGCGATGTTACTTTACTGCTTAATGATATTAGCGATTTATAATGTTAATATTTGTGAATTGAGTGAATTGAATGTTTGTTTGTTTGTTTAATGTTTTTCAGATGGTGTTAATGAGTCTTTTGGAGTTGATGGAGTGGTAGGAAGATGAGATGAAATGATATGAGATATTTGATTAGTGGGTAAGTTGAGTGGAGTAATTGTTTTGATTGTGTGACGAAGTGGTATGTGTGTTTTTGACGATATATAATCAATGAATTGATTGTATATATACTGTTTATTTATGAATGGATGAATATGTGTGCGAGTGAGTGAGTGAGTGAGTGAGCGAGCCAGCGAGCAATTGATTGTCGACTAGTTGATTAGTTGATGGTGATGATATGGTGTGATGTTGATTGTTTGTGGTGAAGTAAATGTGTTGCTGTATAAAACTCACTAGTATATCTAGTGTATCCTGTCTACAGCTACAGTGGTATGTGCATATTAACCACAGTGTGTGAATATGCATAGAAAGAAGTGTTGTTCATGTATTTTTTTTTAAAGAGTGTAGTATGTATATAGTTAGTAAGTGTAGTAGTAGTAGTGTTTGTTGTTGTTTATTGGGTGTAGTGATTGTCAATGAATGTGTTAGTAGTAGTGTTAGTGTTTAATGGTGATGTTGTATTTAGTGATGAGGTAGTTAGGTGCTTTTGTTGTGTTGTGTGGTGTAGGATGTGCTCAGACTGAAGTGTGATCGATTACCTACCGGTGATTAATTGATTGATTGATTGATTGATTGATTGATTGATTGATTGATTGATTGATTGATTGATTGATTGATGGTGATTGTGGTGGTGTTATTTGCATGTGTTTGTGTGTATGTTGATATTGTTGGTAAGAAGATAGATGATGAATGGAAAGGCGACGGGCGAACTGAGAAATATGCAGTTGTGCTGATTCGCCGAGTTCTGATTTTGTGTAAACGAGTGTTGGTACTGTGATTGATTGTGTTTGACAAATTGTAATTGTTTTTGGATAATAGATATTTGCACTGTGTTTTATTGTATTTTCGTTTTATCAGGTGCGTGAGCGAGCAAGTAAGCGTGTGGAGATAGAGCGGATGTGTTGGTGATTGCCGGATGGTTATGAGATAGGGAGTTGGGTAATCAACCGGGTGAGTGTGCGATTATATGCGTGAATGTGCATGTATGTGTTTCTATGTTTTGCTATATGATGTGTTACCTACATTGTGTAATCAGTTTGAAATGAACTGAAATGGTGCTGAATAATGAAGAATAATGATGATGTCAATATTGGAGTTTGTTTTATAATTAATAATAATAATAATAATAATATTGTTGTTGTTGTTATTATTGTTCAGGTATACACTGGTGGGTGACCACCTCCGTTGGGTGTGACCAGTGAGGGAATAATTGTTTACAATGTGAGATGTTGAGATAGGTGGGTGTTGTGTGCTTGTTTTGTTCGAGTGTTTTGGTTACATTGTAAATAGTAAATACTGGTGTAATAAGTAATAAGTAGTATCGGATGATATAATGATGAATGTTTATCTTTCGGGTCACCAGTTATGGTGTGAGTTGACATCTGACTTAGTGGTGTGTGAAAGAGAAAATGTGTTTGGTGTATTGTATGTTAAAATGTGTTTTGTTGTTGTATTTTTGTAGATGTACGATAGTCGTCCAGTGAATGAGCTGATGATAACGTGGATGATGACGTGGACTTGACCGAGGAGAATGGAGACGGTGGGGACTTCTGTGAGTGATGATTGGGCGTTATTTTCGGGTGAGTAGTGGATGAGTGAGTGATGTGCGTTGTAATTTTATTGTTTACTGATGATGACTACGAGATGACGAGTGTGAGATGTTGATCAGTGACCGCTCACAACGAGGCATTTGTCTGAGAGTGTGATAGTTGTGTAATTCGCGTTTGTACTGATTGATGGATATATACTAACTAGTGATTTGTGTTTTGGTGTTTACATTTTCAGGAACTGAACATGTTGTGGAACGGGGAGATAGATGGTGACGACTGAGAGATCAGGTGAGTGGATGATGGTGGTGTTTGTGATGCAATTGATTTATTACGAGTTGCATATGAATGTGTGTATATGTCTGTAGTAATGGTGAAATGTTATGTGGGATGTGGGAGATGTTGTTGGTGAAAGGAACACGTGTACCCAGAAATACGAGGAAGTGATGACTGTGTTATGTTGAATGGTTCGAAGATGAGACGGTATTTTGAGCCTGTTATTTTGTAGAGGAAACGTTTTACTGTGGATAAATTTGAAATGATGCAAATACATATCCACCGATTCTTTGATTATCTGAATCGATTGTGATGTGTGCAACACCATCTGATATAGTGCTTTGTTAATTTATATTTATATACATATATGTCATTTGTGTTCATTGGAGTAAGGAGATGTTTTTTTCTTGTTTGTTTATTGATTGTTTAGGTGAGTGGACGAGTTGGTGCATCGTGTTGTGGAGTACATATTGGTGTAATGATGTCAATGAACCATCTATAATGTTTTCAATTATGTGAATTGTAGTATGTACTTGGAATCCCGGAATTAACACAATTGAATGAAGTAGTGAGACTGAAGCACAAACGAATGTATTGTATTTGGAATTCGAAATCGAGGATTCGACAAGTACAACGGTATCATTAGTTCATTCAAACACCACATTCGCCACAGCCTAAATTGGATTCTAGGCGTTTGTAATCAATCGTAGGTCTTCTCAAATTCATTATGAGTCTGTCTGATATTGTATTGGATGAGGATTCTGTATTATCTAGAATATGCTCATTAGCATTAGAATTAATAATCGAAATTGGAACTGACTCACCTGGTTCCTGATATTGTATTTGATCTACATGTGTACTGTGTGTACTCAATTTATCGATGTCTAGAATTCGCAACATCGATTTTCCGACATTCTTCAGAACAATACCCGTAGATCGTCGAAGATCATTTCCTCGATAGTATGTAACTTCTGAAGACTCCAAACCTCTCATATTCGACCGAAGAATTCTTCCTTTCAATTGCTTCGCTGGTGTCTCCTTCGTCACCGAATGTCTGGCATTTCTATATTGCAATAGAAAGGTATCTACTCCCCTCTCCAGCTCATTAAATGTTGAGGGGGCTATAGAATCAATAGCAGTCTTTAATGTCCTAACAAAATTCTCTGCCTGACCATTAGAACACGGATGTCTGGGAGCAGTAAATAGATGTTTGCACCCTATACCGTTCAACCAGGTAGTGACTGCATCTGCAGCAAAATGTGTGCCATTATCAGTCTCCAACACCATGGGAATCCCTTCTCGACTAAACACCTTTCTTAATGCTTGTATTGTGAAATCAGAATTTGGTGAAGTTGTGAAAAAAACTTCAGGCCACTTTGAAAAAGAATCAATGACTACTAGTGCGTAGTATTTACCAAGAAATGGTCCACAATAGTCAGCATGAATCCTCTACCAGGCCTCAGACGATACTGGCCATGGCACCCACTTCGAAATAATGGATTCTATACTGCCTGTGTCCAGAATAAAGTCATGAAATGAACCAAGCGATGTATATAGTCGCTTCTGAATATGAGCATTACCTTTCGAAATAGTAGACAAAGATAAATGATCACTAGAAACATCCGAATTATTGAAGTTTAAATTACAAGATTGAGTACAGCTTGAAGCAAAATGGACAGTAGCTTTGCATACTGACTGAATGTATCCTATCTTACCACATTTAAAACATTTAGCATTACGAAATGCACATGAATTGCGAGAATGAGACTTTCCACATGATAAACATTTAGCAAACTTCATCTCACCTTTGTGATTTGCTTTGTAATTCCTTGTTGAAACACCTTTCATATTTACACGAGAATAGGAATCACTGTTAAGTGAATGCAAGTTTGATTGACCCTGAGATTGTAGTTCATCACGACGACTAAGCAAAGTATTAGAAATCTTTATCGACTGGATATCAAGTTCATTGACTGCTTCGTAGTTAATACACGCAGTTCTAGCATCTTGAAAGGAACAGTTTGGCATTTTTAACAACTCTCTTTCCAAATTCGGTATGTTAATTCCTGCAATTAATCGATCTCTCAGTTGCACATGAAGTTGATCACCGAAATTACACTTGGCAGCTTGTTTCTGTAATTCAAGGATGAATTCCCGAGCCTTTTGGTCATTTTGACGAACCATCTTATGAAACTTCGCCCTTTCACGGCATTCAAAACTGGTGCATTTTGCATGACTTAATAATAGCTCTTTAAGAGTTAAATAAGGGAGTGAGATAGGTTTTTCTGGATATGCCAAAGTTTCTAACAAGCTGTACGCTTCTCTCTCAATGAATGTCAGAAAATGTGCCACAATTTTATCACCTTTAACATCTTTCTTGGTCATGCTCCAGATTTCGAACCTTTCCAAGTAATCCTCAAAAGCTTTAGGAGTTGAATGAATATCTAACTTTTCCATTGCAGGCTCCATCGCGACGCCAATATAATGTTTTGAATTATTTGAATTGTAGTATGAACTAGGAATCCCGGAATTAACGCAATTGAATTAAGAAGTGAGACACAAGCACAAACGAATGTATTGTATTTGGAATTCGAAATCGAGCATTCAACAAGTACAACGGTATCATTAATTCATTCAAACACCACACCATCTTTCGACTGATGGCTTTGTGATGTGTTGATGGTTTTCAGTTCTTTTGTTTTGCAGTTTTTTTGGGGGTCAATGTACTCTGTATGTTTTTTATTTATTGCCTTGATCATTTATTGTGTTTTGGTTTTGTGTTTGTTTTTGTCATTTATATTATCTATTTTGATTGTTATGTTCTCCTTTCACTTTCACGGTTTATTCACTTTTCATTGTATTATGTGTTGTATGATTGTTGTTTCATTCCATTGAATTTCAATATGTATATTTGTATTAATGTGTTATACTGTTTATCTTCTATGGTTCAATATTTGACTTGATCATAAAATGTGTCATAATTCAGTTAAAGATTTTCCCAGTTTTGTATATAATAAATATAAATTAGTTTGTCAATGCTTTCAGAGTACAGAAAGATATATGCTTCTGTAAATTACATAAGTTTTCGTCTGTTTGTGAATTGAATAATAATTTCGTAAGAAGTCAATGATTAGCGTTTATTACTTTAACCATCTAAGATATTCCTTAAGTCAACGTCAATAAATAAATTCTGAGAAGGATTGACAACTGTACATGCGCATTCATTAGTGTTAATTAGGAAATAGATACTGGGGCATTTGTGTTATTGGTAGTAATGAGTAGAATTATACTTGCGATTTGTTAGACTTTTGCATGGGATATATCTATCGAACAGTATTGTTCCATAGTATAGTGTGGCTGAATACCAGGCCAGTCAGTAGAACTTCGTACGTACCTACATCAGTTCGAGTTGCCACACCACATTAGCATAAAGATGCAGTGGTCGATTCAGGTCCCGTAGTGGTAGAGGTGATAAGAGTATAAGCAGTAATCGGGAAGATTAGGGTTTGGAGATGTTACTTAAAGAGTATAATACAGTGAAGTAGATTTGAGAGGAGAAAAAAAAGACAAAGAGGAATAAGGAGATCAAAATTTGGGAGAACACAAAGAGTGGATGCACCTGCGCCATTGCAAACGATTTTGAGCCATGTCATTCAGGGTATCTAACCATCGGTTGCTATCATCTCGCGGTCTCCAACCAGGTAGTCTACACCTAGCAACATGACTCAGTCCACTTGTCAGTGACTTCATGAACTTGTGCCATGTTTTGGTCTGGCCACCCCTAGCTTTCTTCCAATCTACTCCTATATCATTGAACATCGCACGTCGAGGCAGTCGGTCGTTGGGCATACGTAACACGTGTCCCAGCCATCTCAACTGATGAAGTTTCACTACTTCATCAATTGATTTACCATCCTTACCTAGTACCCGTTTCCTAACAACTGTGTTACTTACTCGATGGTCCCATGATATACGAGCAATGTTTCGAAGACACCTATGATCGAATACTAGTAACCTACGAATATCCTCTACTCTTACCGGCCATGTTTCACTGCCATAAAGTAGGACGGAACGAACTGCTGCGCAGTAAGCACGTCCTTTGGTTGATAGACGGATATCTCGCCTACGCCATAAATGACGCAAGTTGGCATAAGCTAGTCGAGCCTTCTGTATCCGTGCTGAGATTTCGTCACACACCAGACCACAAGGGCTGATGAGACTTCCAAGATAAGTGAAGCGATCGACACGCTCAATTACTTCACTCCCTATCATTCGTTCGGGTGTCAATGCAACCCAATCCTGAAGCAACATTCTACATTTCGAGGGGGAGAATCGCATGCCGAACATGCTTACATTGTTGCTTAGAGTAGTCAGAAGACTCTGCATTTTGTCAGCGTCTTAACCAAATATAACTATGTCATCAGCATATTCTATGTCAACAAGTGAACCTCCCGGTACAAGTTCAACCCCTGGAAATTTAGATGAGGAGAGTGTTATCTCTAAAAGTACGTCGACGACAAAGTTAAACAAGAGTGGACAGCCCTGACGAACACCACTTGAGGTAATCAATTCTGATGACAGTTCGCCATAAGCTCTTACTCTACCAGTTGTGTTCGAGTAGAGAGCCTGTATAAGGTTAATGTACTTCTTTCAGTGACAAACACTGCCATAGAACCTTACGATCAACAGAGTCAAATGCCGCCTCAAGGTCGAGGAATACTACGATTGTGGGGCGTCTGAATGTGTGTGTCTGTGTTCTAGAACCTGACGTACTGTGAATATCTGATCTATACAACCACGTCCAGGTCGAAAACCAGCCTGATTTTCTCTAGTCTGCTCTTCACGAGCTTTGGTTAGGTGTCGAAGTATTATTGAAGCTAATATTTTAGACACTATATTAGTCAAACTGATTCCTCTGTGATTATCACAAGAGGACTTTTGTCCTTTCTTATAGACTGGCACAATCAGTGATTGAGACCAGTCAGATGGGATTACGTCCAGTTCCCAAATTCTACCTAAGACCTCAGTTAATCTCACTGCTAATACTGGACCACCATCCTTAAAAATCTCAGGAGTAAACCTGTCAGGGCCTGCTGCTCTCCCTCGTTTCAGATTTCCTATGGCTTTTTCAACTTCGTAAAGAGTCGGAGGACCTACATTAACTTGCCATTCAGGTTGACTGGAGATCGTGGGAAACCGAAGTGCGGCTGAAGGCCAGTTGAACTGATCCCTTAAGTGTTCTGTCCATCGATCCAATCTCCTGGATTGAGAATGTATGTGTCCATCTTTCTCTGAGAGTGTTTCGCTAACAGTCGGTTTCCTAATACCGGTTTCCTTTACAAGTCTGAACAATTGTCTGCTATTACCTATTGCCGCTGCCTTTTCCATCTCTCTTGCTTTCGCTACCCACCACTGTTCACGATCATTGCGTAGACTTCTTGTCAGCTTGCGCTTAAGCTGACTCGGCTCTTCATTATGTTCAGAGCCAGGTGGAGTGAGTTTCCGAGCATCTATCAGTGAGATAGATGCTGTTGAGATCCAGTGTTGCTCCCTAACCTTCTGGTTTACCGTACTAGCAGATATCACTGCTGTTTCCACAGCTTTTCGGATATCATTCCATGCTGCATCGGGGTGGACATCACATACATGGCTGCCTAACTGTTTTCCTAGTTGTTCCTGAAATATACTCTTAGCTTGACTATCATTAAGTAGGGCCCTAAGAAGTTTACTTGCAGCGTCTTTCCTACGTCCAGTAAGACGCAAACAGATACGCGCTCGTACTAGAGCATGATCTGAATCTAAGCTTGTGCTCCAGAATGAGCAACAGTCTTCTATCGAGCCCCTCCATCGGTGGCTGATAGCGATGTGATCTATTTGGGTCCAACGTTGGGACGAATTAGGGGGTCGCCATGTTAAAAGATGTTTTTCCTTATGCTTAAAGTTAGTATTTGCAAGGAACAGGCGGTTATCTGAGCATAGCTGCAACAGACGGTCGCCATTATCTGTTCTTTGAGCCACGACACCATAGGATCCACCTAGGTGTCTTTCCTTATCGCTTAGTTTACCTACTTGAGCATTAAAGTCACCGGCCACTATTACTGCATCCGAGCGCTTAGCTTTTCGGAGAAGGTCCGAAAGCTTTCTGTAAAACTCATCTTTTGCAGCATCTGAGCTGTAGTCAGTGGGGAATAGGCAGAGAGGACGAGTGTCCTTATCTTTTCGGATCCTTACTGTTCCGTTCAGCCGGACAGCGCACAAACGACTGTCTACTGGGATCCAGTCTAAGAGAGCTAGTTCTGCCCCAGGACTCAATGGTTTCAGGAGACCAGGAATAGCGTTCCGCGTACTCGAATCTTTTGCCCTGGCGGTGCGAGATGATAGAGACCTGAGAAGGGTTAGTCATGGAGATAGGAGAGGTATTAGGAGGTGTAGGAAGGATTCGAATGTGACCAACTTGGTCTCGTGTGCTGTTACGGGTATGAGGGCTGATATCACTTTCCGGCTGCGCACACCGTGGAAGGGTATTTCTTGAGGAACCTGAAAAAGAAATTGGATTAGTGTTGGTCTTGACGGCCTGGGAGCGTGACCGCAGAGCCCAAGGGACAACTGCTTGAGGCCGGTCGCGCACGGCCTTTTCGTGGAAGGTTTTTGATGTGTTAGCTCCGTTCTTCAAAGGGCCTTACCGCCGGAGACGGAAATCCGTGAGGTAAGGTGAGGTGTGACATTTTTAGGATCGACCTTTTCTAACCCCACCCCTCCTTGTGGGAAGGCAGCATTGCTGCAGATGCTGGTTGTCCGAGGGAAACACCTTACTGCTGTCACACCCCTCTACAGTCAGCAGTACGACTTCGCCCTCAGACCTTGAGTTGCTGCTTTTAGTCTTACCGTTCTCTAATCGACCTGCCTGGCATGGTAGAACCTACAGGAACATAGCCAACATAGCTCGGTTGGGTCATCACGATAGGCAAGCCCGACCACCGCGTCAAGGTAGCAGCTTCGGTTGGGCCATTATGCATCACTGACTTTTAAGTCTGCTTTTGAAACATTAAATTCTTAAGCATTCCCAATAATCATATAGTTGAATTCTTAAATGCGTGAAATTTAATCTAGTTATGTATAAGAAATCTTTTGTATTTCTAGTTTCATATAACCTTGTCGGAGTAGAAGTTCATGGAAACATTGAATGTACAAATTATGTAGATTATTATCTCAGGAAATTGCGACGAGTATTCATCTTTCCAAATGCTTATAAGATACCTCTATTCATTATATGTTGAGTAAAACGTTTCGAACATTTTTAGGAGCCTTTATAGACTCTTCCGAGCCTCCCAATAAAATTGATCTCAGAAGACAACTTGGTTTTCCCAATACAACGTGCTTTTTCTAAGAAAAAAAAGTGAAATGATAAGTGTGATAAGAAGTAATTCCACGTATACCTCTTTCTAAGATATGTCAAAATGAGATAAAGAGAGTGTCAAACTTTCTCGTCTAATTGCATTTTCTTATCATTTGTGTGTGTTTGTGCATGATTGTTTGTAGTAAAATGAACCATCCTGATTATATTTTAAGACAATTTAATCTGATATCAACTGTCTTTATCTGTCATTTTGAAATAAGACAAAAATCTTGTCCTCAATAATAGTTACTATTCTGTTTGATGATTGCTGATAAAAGTCAATTGATTAGACTATAATGGAAAAAGTGATCTATAATAAAGTTGATTTTTCCTTAGAAATCAATTTTGAAGGTTTTAATTTTACCATTGTAATAATAAATGAAAAAAAATACTCAATTTTTATGTGAGCAAGTTTATAAGCGTTTCAATTCTTCATTAAATTATTTTCTTTCAAAACTTTCGTATTTTACGTTGCCAGTTGGTTTCATTTAGATGATCAATTGAATATCACGAAACACTGAATATCTTTTTCTCTAGGATGGGGATTATTCATCCACTGTTCAAACAAAGATCAAATCATAAATTATGGCTTTCAGGCGAGATATTTACTATGTTCTATCGACAAACGGTATCGAGAATCCGTTGTTGGACGGGTTACTTACCTTGTATCAAACATATTTAGACTCCTCTGCTAATATCTACTCACTAGATTACTGGGAAATTATATTTATATTAGCTAATGGTGTTCATATTTATGTGTATACTAGGTTTGTGGAGATTGTTGAATTTTATAGTTGATATCACCGAATGAACTTGGGTAGTTAACCATTGGAAATCGGACACGAATTCTCACTAGAACCTCAGAAATATTTTCAGTAAGTTACCACTGGGTGTCACCTAAGTTGCTCTAATGTTTAAACGTTCATTAGAAGACCTGAAGGTTGTCTTTTCAATCTCCGGTTAGGTTATGAATAGTCATTATTGAGCAGCCCCTTACCAGGACAAAACAACTTGTCACTGTGTTTCGTTATATATATATATATATATATATATATATATATATATATATATATATATATATATATATATATATATATATATATATATATATATATATATATATATATATATATATATATATATATATATATATATATATATAGTAGTAACACGATTTAATTGGTTGTTCGTGGTTGCTAATGCTGTTCAATGACCTGAAATTTAGCGTTTATCATATTAAACTTTCTTTTTAAAAGAAATTGATATTTGTTTGAATCATTTAGTTATTCATTTTTGCTAATGCAATACACTTCTCTGTTTGATAACAATTATAATTGCTAGCATTCCCTTAAGAACACCTAGAATTAAACAATGAATGATATTTTAAAATCTAATGAAATTATTAATAATAATGAATTGGATATCCTTGTTGATGATATAAATGATGATGAAGAACTATCTTCATTAATACAATGTTTTCCTAAAGAAACTAAACAATTTATATTGAAACTTAGAAATTCACATCTTGATAAATCTAATAATGGTCAATTAAAACAGAATAGTAAAAAGCAAACACATCGATGTTTAACAAATTTTGATGTTGAAGCACCATTTAGTACATCAACAACATATAGAAATACATTTTGTCATCAAACTAATAATAATGTTAATGAACAAAATGAATCATCTAAATTTCCAATAGGTCAACCAATTTTACGATTTGGTGAAATGCCTGTTTTCACTGATTCGATTTTATATCCCGGTCAAAATCGTCGATTACAAAGTACAACACATGAAACATTTGTTGAAAAGCCAGTATGTTTCTTTTTTTTTCATTGATTGTATCACTTCATGATGTCCATTGTAGATGCTTCAGTATTGTGTACTCAATATCCCATATATGTGGTAAAGTTGTATTTCTTTCACATTTTCACAGCATTTTCATAAATTTAATACGATGTGTTTAATTAATTGAGGGGTATAAACCTGATTTCATAGATTTAAACTTTTGTAAAAGTGAATACTGTCTCATGATTACTAAAATATTCAGTAGTTAAATTATCAAGGTCGGTACATACCACATCTGGAAATCAAAATAGTTTACGTAGTAACAGTACTAGTGTTAGTAGTAACTGATATGATTGGAGATGAAAATATGGGTTTGGGGAATGGAACGAAATCGTTTAACAAATTACGAGATTTTAAATTCTAAAGGAATACAAATAGTAAGTGTGCCTGTGAATGATCTTGTCCCTGTCACCCAAAATCCCTAACTAATGTCTACAATCCTCAATTTATTTAAAACTGTCTAATCAAAGCTTCATAAAACTACTTTTCTCTAGTTATGGTTAGTTTGAAAGTTTAACTAATTACATATGAGTTAATAAATAAGCCGTGATTCTGTTCATGTTTATAAGTAAAACAAAAGACTCATGATCTCAACTATTGAAATTACGACCAATCTCTATAAAACCCCTTCTGATACTAATTACGAAAATTTTACAGAACACACATAAATACTGAATTTAGAAATAAATTTAAGTAGTATCATTATTACGAGATAAATTGTTTACGCAGTTCAATAATTAATTTTGTTTCTTTATCAGGGCTTTTCACAATAGAATATTGAAGGTATGTTTTTTGGCCCCCGAATACCCTGGTGTGGCCGAGAGTAGGGTGGGCTCGCCTTCCTCTCGAAGTGCTCTCACACAGCCACGCGTATACAGCCTCTGCCAGGGAAGTTCTACTCACTGCCTCCTCGTGGTGGGGGTGTTATTTACGAAAATGAGAGGACGAAAACCGAATGTTCGGAGCTCTAATCGGATTCCAAACCAATGGTGCATCTGGGCTCCAGTATCCTGCGGGAACAAATGGCGTATGAACCAATCGTTGATCACCGGCTACCATGGGGTTGTATCTCCTTACGATGCTCCACTGCATTGTGGGCCATACCTTTAGGTCAAAGGCTCTGGGTGTGACCCCCTAAAATAACCACCTGCTTTGGTCTGGGCACCCGAGCAGTATCACAGCCCTCACACAAATCGAGTGATTTATGTGGCGCATATCTACTTGGTGCTTCCCTGTACTATTGTTTATGTGTTTAAATAATAAATATTAATATTTTTTTGGCAAAATGACACTATTATGTCGCGAATTGCATTATAATTCTATATTTTTTATTCACTTACAAACATTCTTATTCTTTTCTTTACAAAATATCCAAGCTTTCCAATTTAGGATGTTAAATGTGATGTAATAAATAAAAGTGTATAATTTTGCATGATTATAGTAAAATAGAAATGGAGTTTGATGACATTTTGCATTTTTTCTAGTGATTATTTGTTTTTTTACTGGAATCTATTGAGTGGGTCATAGTTTGAATAAAAGAAACGAATAATTATTTAAATGTTTATGTTGTATGGTGAAAATTATACTCTTCTATACAGTGCTTAGTTAACAGTTTATTAAAAATATCGTAGATTGGTTGAAGTTAGACATTAACACCGTTTGATGCCGGTTCAGTGGTCTAGAAGTTAAGCGTTCGCGCGAGACTGATAGGTCCTGAGCTCGAACCTCGCGGTTCGGGGTCGTGGGTGCGCGCTGCTGAGAAGTCAGACAATAGTGCGAGACGTCCATCCAGTGCTTCCAGATTTTCCATGGTGGTTTAGCTTCAATTAACTTATGAATTCAACTACAAAATAGAAAAATGCCTGAAAAAATTTCATATTACACTTTTATTGAAGATTAACACACAGAGAGAATGACCTCACATAGACGTTGAGATCTGATACTAATCAAAAACAAGAAAGCCACGTGTTTTTCAAGCTAGAGAATTATAAGCTATCTAGTTTTATAATGATTGCTCATTCAAATAATTACTAGCATCAAAATGCATTTCTTGAAAGCATAATGAAAAGTTGTGGAATCAACTAGTTGATGTTGAAGTGGTGATGATACGTTTATGTAATGGGATGGGAATTATCTTCCTAATTGCTAAAAATAAAAATCCTGGATTGTTTTAAAGGTTTTGTGATTCTCTGATCTATAAATCTCCTTTACAATCTTAAAATAATATTCGAGTTAGATGATAAAAAACATGAGAGTAACAGGCTTCCCATTCGAAAATGGGAGAATTTCATTAAGAAAGTAGGTTTCCACAAAAACATGGTTTTATTTTTTACCATAGATGTTTACGCTATCTATTCTATTGGCTAAACAAAAATTGGATTAACCCATCCAACAAATTAGAAAGCACAAAACACTTCTAAAATCTTCCGCTCGAGCTAAAAATCTCTGTCATCTCATCATATCCATTGTTACATTTTAATTTAACAGCTAATTGTATATATTGGTTACTATGGAATCTAAGATTACTTGATTCATTTTACTTTGGGTTTGTGGATCATCACCAAATTAAAATGAACCAAGATTATATTTTTCTTCTGATTTTGACACATGTATTAGCTGATATTGTGGTGCGTGCTACTTATATTGATATAAGTAGTATATTATGCGAGTCAGGAATGTAATGTCTGGCAGCAGAAGATGAGGGAAGATCAAGATAGCAAGAGCCTGAATAGAATGCAGTTTGTATGAAAATGTAAGAACAATAAAGTCTGAGTCATTTTGAGACAATTGGTGGACATTTTGCAAATTGACGATTTAATATATAGTTCTCAGATTTTACTGAGATGCATTCGGTTGTCCTTACCCGCGTGCTGTTTACTACAACATCAGTTCACACAAAAACTGACTTCATGTCAAATTGATTACACAATAAAATATATGAATATAACGACAATGATTTTGTTTATTTTCCCAAATTCGTATTGTTGCAATTAACTTTCGATTTCTAGTCAAGAGTATTGTTTTTCTCGGTGAATTTTAGATACGTTCAAAGACTCATCTACTCAAATACTCAGTGTACTTTTTAAGGATATGTTTTTCAATTACATCAGATGATAATGTTTTCCATTTGCGTGAAATGTTAAAATCTTTCTTCGTTTGAATCATTTTTAATGAATTTTGAAACAATTATAATGAATGTAAATCACTACAAAATAGTTTTTATATTTAACAGATATGTTATCCATTGTGACGACTGATTACTTATTTATTTGGACACATAAATATTGGTACAAAGAGGCACCAGATACATATGCGCCACACAAGTCACTAGATTTATGTGTGGACTGTGATACTGCCCGGGTGCTCAGACCAAAGCAGGTGGTTTTCTTAGGATGCCACACTCGGCGCCTTCAACTTAGAGGTCTGATCTACAGGGCAGTGAAGCAATGTAAAGAGATGCAATCCCATGGTAGCCGGAGACCAAGAACAGGTTCATACGCCATTTGTTCCTTCAGGATCCTGGAGCTCATGTGCACCATTGGTTTGGAATCAGGGTTTTCCAACTCCCCTAAGAGAACTCACCGTGTGCTCCGGACATTCGCTTTTTGTCTTCTCAATTTCGTAAACAACAGCCATACCGAGCGAAGGCAGTGGTTAGAAATTCCCTGACAGTGACTGTATATGCGTGGCCATGCGAGAGCGTTTCGAGAGGGAGAGCTGACTTTTCCCACCCTCGGTCGTACCATGGCATTTGGGGGTTCAACTGATTAATGGAATGTTTAGAATATGATAAACGGTTTTCGTAGAACAGAATGACTGTAAATTTGCTTCTATCTACTAGAGAATTAAATCTACCATTAATATTAAAAATCCCCAGTTTGAAAATTAGAAGACATCAATGAAAAATATTGTCTTCAGTTAAATCTTTATCCGACGTTTATACACATATATGTGCGTAGTAACACACATTGAAGCTCTTCTTATGCACATTTCTGCTTGGTGACATATCTTCCCGAATAATTGATATGTCATAGAAATGTACTTTTTTGTCAGATTCTTTCTTAAGAAACAAAATTCTGGTGTGCAATAGCAATCTGGATTAAATCTTTCTTATTTACTAATATACTAATGTACAATAATGAAAATGTCGTCTGTAAAACTACGGAATAAGTTTTCCTTCTTGATAGACCTATTTTATAATATTCCCAAATAAAGTCAACTGCTGTTTGACATATTGATGAACCTACAGTTATTCTATCAATTCATCTTGAATATTGTTGAACACTACATCTTAAATGTGGTTTTTTGGGTCTGTCCTCAAGTACTCCAATTTTTATTTGTTTTTCAGATGTCTTTTCTTAGATATCAATCCGATCACTTAATTAGCTATTTAATAATTAATCTCAAGGTATTTTCGACTCTTATCCTTATTTGTCACAAGAATTTTTGGAATTTCGTTTTGACAGACAATATTATTCTTGATAAAGATCCTACTGAAAATAATGTTTCCCTATGTGTTTCGTTTTATTACTTAAGTTCAAAATATTTGCTCCTCAAATAATGTGGTGTGATGTGTGCTACTGATGATGAAAGATATAAATAGTATTCCTCATCCGTTGAAAGTGAAACGCCTGAAGGCAGAGAGTTAAGAAGACCGAAGAAAAGAGAGCGAGAACAGAGAGTGGTTGATGTGGAACCGAAGGTACAATCAAGTCTGTGACAATTGATTGACATTTTGCAAACGAATTATTTACTGTATGGTTCTCAGATTTTACCAAGATATTCTGTAATGTGTTAAAATGCGTAGTCAGTTTCCCTTATATATGTTCTCGTTCACTAATGTGAGGACGGCCCACGGGTGAACTCGAATAAGCTCAGAAAAAACCTGAGACATTCCATCCAATCATCTTTTGGATGAACATCCCAGAATCGCGACATGTATCTTCCCTATCGGACAAATGCTAAAAGCCATTGTTTGCGGATTGGATGACTATAATAATGATTTCACTTTTACTAAAAACTATAAATACTTGGGAGTTTTGTACCACATTTGACACTGTCGGAATAACATTCCTCCTCACTCGTCTTCTGTCTTGTCATTTTACGACCTGGCGGGTTCTAGAGTTCAAGTGCTCGCGTAATACGCGGTATATCAAGAATCTAAGCTCTAAATATAACAACTACACTAGAACTTGAGTTACATTTTAATCAGCTAATAAATAATGGTCAAAAATTAGTCAGAAATCTGTTCATTTGTACTCATCATAACCATGTAAATAACCATGCTAAATACAAACTTCACTTCCTAGCCAATTCCATAAAATAATTTTCCACAATTACTTGACTGCTAGCATAGTGCCAATAATTTCGGTAAAAAAATTAAATGATCCATCCAGTGTATAATCACGCCATCTCTTTTTTATGGTAGTCATAGTTTACTTCTACATTCAACGATTGTCTTTTTCAGATCACTTACACAGAACCTGCAAAACCGGTACCAACAAATCTTCGTGTTGAAGGTGAACGAGATTTTTTAACTACAAATAAAAGTGTTTACACAGTCAAACCGATAACAGGATGTCCTGTACGTAGACTAAAGGTAAATAGTTATTGAATAGTGTTTTATTGTAATAGCACTCAAAGTGTATTAACATCGCTTCAAATATAAAAATGTGGTACTTGTTTTGCCAATCCTCCTTGTCCATCCATGATGCTACTCAAACAAACGAAACTTTCCACCTCCTCCAGAGTCTCTCCATCAAGTGAGATGGGTTGGTGTTCGCCGTGTTGAATTTGAGGATCTTGGTTTTCCCTTTGTGTATGTTGAAGCCTATTGATCCAGAGGCTGTTGCTACACTGTTTGTCTTGACCTGCATTTTTTGATGTGTATGGGCTAGAAGAGCTAGGTCATCTTCAAAGTTCAAATCTACTAGTTGATTCCGAGCTGTTCGTTATGACCTTGGATGTCTGACTTTTCTATCACACGACTTATCTACCAATCCGAATACGACTTATACGAATCTTCACACTAGGCCAACCAATGACGTTCAACCGGTGTGGGCAGTTTAGCGTCCTTATTGGTCCTATGTCCTCCGAGCCCTTCAACTTGAGTCCAGAACACAATACCAGCTTCCGAATCAGAGCAGATCGTTTATTTCAGGCATACTTGGTTTATATATCAATCACACAGACCTCAACGTACCATAAAATAGGAAATAATATTTGTACACAAATAAGCCCAGAAAGTGGCTGTGAATGTGGGAGGCAGTAGTTAATAAACTGAACATAACTTAAGAACCGTAAATCGTACAATAATAAATTATAGGTCAAAATAAAGCTTATCATAAAAGGAATATAAATATACATAGTGTAATTGTTGAGTAGTTATACAATAAGAGTATTTATAGAATATTAGTCCATGAATAGTCCTTGGAAGTTACCTGTAGTTTAATCTTCACCGGACATAACACTGTTCATTGTATTTTTATAGTGGGTAATAAACAACTCTATATTTTGTGTCTATTAGTTGATTAATTGAGGTTTTTGGGTGAAAATGTTTCTTCGGAGTTGTAAGTTGATGAGAACATTTTGGAATTTATCCTCTGTCAATATTGGATAAAATTCAACCAGTTTTCTATAGTTTAAGCATGTAATATAACTATTATCACCTTGTAGATTTGCTGGTACTATCTGAAAGAACAGCGTTTGTTGCGCCCATTAATAACATAAATTAAAACATTTAGTTGAAAACAATTGTCTTCTGGGAACTACCTATTTCTTATCACATTCCAGATGTGATCATTTCCTTCCATAATATCATTAAATGAGTGTAGGAAAACTAGTCAAATTGACTAGACAGCAGGGTTAGCTTGGTGTTTAAGATCTTTTCAACAAGGTTCATATGTAAAATCATCTCAAAATTTTCTATTTAGTTCATGCGGTCTATCATCTGAATACAAAGAATATCATACTATATTAAAATAATTTCAAATTACCTCAATTCTTTCATACATACGTTTATAAATAATGTAAATGGTTGAACAGAATTGGGTGGTAAGGATTAATTTTCCTGCTCCTACTTTAGGCTATTTGTTTATTATTTGTTCCAGAGATTTGGTCTTCTTCTATTGAAGTCACTATCCATTTGTGGTGGTTGTTTGAATCTTCTCATTGATGTTTAGGACTCTAATTAACTAGTTTCTTTCGGCATATGTGCATCCTGTGGATTGTCTCGATATTGTCTCAACTCAGAAGCATTATAAGCAGGGATAGGTAGCTCCTAATATTGGAATCCAGGGAGCCCGATTTGTCCTATTTAGGACTCGTCAACTTTATGTACCTGGATCTCGTAGTTGGTGTTTAATACGAGATTCGAACCCAATACCGTTCTCCTCAAACACTATCTCCTTATCCACATGGCATCCGCGTTTAAAATGAACGGTACTGGGTTCGAGTCCCGGAGTGAACATCAACTCTGGGATGTAGGTACATCCAGCTAATGAGTCCCAACTAGAACGAGACACACCCTGAATTCCACTGTTAGCCACCATCCATTTCTGCTTATATAAAGAAATCATTTTAAGTTACATTTATTAATAATATAGAGGATCGACTGACAGTTTTTGAATAAGTTGAGTGTAAAACGAAAACCATAATATTTAATTCTAAGAATTTATCTGTTCAACTGTAAATTTAAACAACCAATTATATACTTAACTTGTTTAACAATATCACCGGATAGTCTCAATCTTCCATTATGGCAAATAACTCTTTTTTTCCCAATATTTAAGATGCCAAGTACTCCAAAACCACGTGTTAGCGAACCATTTTCTGGTGAAACTCAATTTCGTGCAGATTTTCCTCCAGAACGTGCATGGAATAGTGTTGATCCAATGAACTCAATTATACCACAACCATGTCAACCGCCAAAAGCACAAATTCAATTGCGCGACACAAACGAGATATCTTTTCATACAGAACAGCGTGATCAATTTCAAGGTCATGATGCTAAGGTTAGCCAGTTCACTTACGTTTCCAAATATTACGTTTATCTTCTAAATTGAAGATAACTTGTTGAAATTACTGTATTCAAGTGGATTTGTTTTATGGATTACATTTATTTAAAATTTTTAGATTGACCATTGACAATTTAATGAATATGTCAACTTGCAAAAGCTATATCACCTTCTTCATCTTATTAAAACTATTTTATTAACTTGTGTAAAAACTCTTACCATACATTTAGATGTTGATCTAGTGCTCTGATTTGAAACGATGGACGAGACCATAATTTATGGACGAACCAATCAGATACAAGATAACAGGTATTGGATGTTCATCCATTCACTTGGCTAAATAGAGTTTTGGCATTTAAGTTGATGTCAGTTCTTGATGAAAACCTTTGATCTAATTCCCAATCCTAACCATCAACCGTAAATCATAATCTTTATCCTTCACACAGGTTTATAACCGTCATTTAACTCTAGTAAGTAGGTGGACGTTCTCAATGTCACTTTAGAGTCGCTCAAAGTTCGTTCATAAATTATAATCTCACCGCGAATTCGACTAATTTATAGTGTACATTCATCAATGTCCATTAAAATTAAACCGCTATCTATCTTATACTCTCGAAGAATTACAGTTTCTAATCTTTTTGAATAATTATTAATGCAATTAGATTTTTACTATTCTCATAATGTAATTTAGATTTCCTTAATGCAGATCAAATAAACACATTATAATTACTCCCACTGACTGGGGTCGAACATTTCTTCGAGTAGCTTGTATCCATGATCTGATACCAAAAAGGACATGTATTGCAGTTGTTTTTATATTGTAATACTCATCAATATGTTCAACGCTCTGCCATTTCAAAACAAAAATAATTTACGTGCTACTCATGTAGACACATCGATTACTCCTCACCGGTACTTACCCATATCAGAGGGGTTAGTATTGTAGAAAGTGATCTCCTACAGTCTAAATTCTAAACTAATCCCCGGACTATAAGTACAGAGTCTTAGCTTAGCCAAAGTCAGAACAAGTAAGCTATTTTGCTCAATAAACGTTATCTGTTTGTAAAACGTAGATTAACACCTGGTGTTGTTTGCTCGTATCTTCCCATTGTTGTTTAGGACTGCAGTTGATCAGTCTCTTGTTGGCACATGTGCATCCTGTCCGGATGGCCCCGATATTGCCTTAAGTCAAAAGCGTTATAAGCAAAAATGGATAGTGGCTAGCAGTGGAATCCAGGGCGCGCGTTTCATCCTAAACAACAATGGAAAGATACAAACAAACAACATCAAATGTACTTGAACTTCACCCTATTGCACAAGCAGTTGGCTATTAGGACTCAGTAGCTAAATGGATAACGCGATAGTGTTTGAAGCGAACGGTACTGGGTTCGATTCCCGAAGTAAACATCAACTCTGTGATGAAGGTACATCCAGCTGACGAGTTACGAATAGGACGAAACGCGCGTCCTGGATTCTATTGCTAACCACTATCCATCTTTGCTCATGTAGATTACGACCGTTAGTAAGTAAAAGACAATTAGTAAAGTCGATCAAACAGGGGAAAAGATAGATATATATAACATATCGAACGGTAACTCGAGGATAGGTAAAATGAGTAAATAAACAAGGCATAGTCATACATGGTCAAAGAGTCAATGTGTTGATGAACGTTTAATACTGTAATTGTTGGGTTCGTTTTTCGATCATTATCCCATCCCATTGTCTCTTAATCTCAACAATTACTTTATCAAGTGATGAAAGGAAACTATTGGAGTGGGTTTAATAGTATATTTCTCAACATTTGATTTATGGCATCCAATTAACGTTATGGAAAGGTATTGTTATCAATGGATACTTCAAAAGTTGTCATATGGGATTTTCAATAAATGTCATCTTCATTGTTACTCAATCAATTGATAGAATTAAGAATAAATCTTAGATGTTATTTGACCTTCTAAATACTTTATTTACATTACAACCAATGAAGCACTAGATCGTTGTTTCATTTTAGTATGGAACTCTTTAACAGTGCCCATTCATAACCTTAAGGAAGAGTAGTGGTCAGTCGATGATGTTAACTACAAAACTTAGTAATCTCTGCAAACCTCCATACTAGAAAATGGTATCTTATCTTCGATTATTGTCTTGGGATTGACTAGTGATATGAAACAAAAAATACTCACTTCAAACTAATATTCATGAATCATAATTATCTCTAAACACTATGGAACTGATGTAACGTATTCGTGAAAATATTTTTTCTCTCGCTCTGCGATTTAACTACGCTAATGTAATAATTTGATAATAAGGCTGGTCTAGTTAGTCAAGTTTATAATACCACTAGATTGGAAAATCGAACGGTGCACAATAATGAGATTAGATTATGTTATATCAGATATATGATTTATGACTAAGAATAGAGAAGAAAAGTAACGCTAGACTGCTTTATTCTACACAGTTACAAGTAGTTACTCTCAGTGAGTCCGGAGTAGAAATCAGTAAGGGGAAAGAAAGTTGTGTGCCTGTTTATCCATAATCAATGACCAATCACACCTACCTCCACTACCACAAATAAGGAACATTCTCCACTTATTTAGTTGAGTTACATTAGCTGAATGTTCCACAAAAACATCAGTTATCTTGGAAATAGTTTATTTCATAGATGGAAATTATCTAGAAAACTGATGGAAGTTACCAAGGGTTAGTGGAAATATGTTTGTCTTAGTATGAAACTCTTCAATACATCACGTGCATAATTCCACATGAAATAACAATTATGACCTTCAGAGATTGCTGTAATCATAATATCGTGAAAGTGATGAGCCATAATCAAATGTCACATACTTTCCAACTTTAGCTATTCAGAGCTATCAGTATCTATATTCAAAATGAAAATAACTCTTCAAACAAACTTAATAATCGTCTCCTCACTACTGAAATTTTTCGAGCTGATTTTCTCTATATCCTAGTGAGCTGCTTTGATCTGTGTATGGTCAATTGTGTCAGAAGTTAGGAAGTTACTTATCTATGTTATGTCTACTGTCCTCTCTAGATTATTCATGTATATTACTTAATAATTAATATCAGTGGAATGAAGGATGTATGTTTTGAACTACCTAGACTATGATAAGAAATTATTTTACCAAATGAAAGGTACATAATTTAGCTCAGTAGCCTAATAATAGGTTATATGGCGTTAAAAGTTTGTTTTGATCTCTCTTATTCCAAACCCCTACCACATAGCCTATATCGGACATACGTAAAGGGATACAAAATTTTGTGATAATTACAAGTTAAAATTATCAAGATAACCAAATCAATTATTCATTCAAAATAGGTCAATAAAGAACTCAAATCCGTAATTAGTTTTTTTTTCTTTATCGAACTCATTTCTTTTTCTTTTATAACAACAGACTAATCCAAAACCAAAATCATTCAAACATGAACCATCGGTTTACACCAAACCAGCTATTAAACTTGATTGTAATTCAGTGACGAAATTGGATTTCCAACCATATACAACTGAACAAATACTTAGTGTGAACGCAAAGGTAAACATCAATATTTCTTTCAGGTTCTTATATTTATTTGGACTTTTGTTTTATTTCCCCCACATTTCTGTAAATGATTCCTAACGTTGTCTCTTTTTTAGTATAATGGGTTTGTGTAGAATATTGGACTTATATAATTCATACCACACACTGATTGTAGTTAGACAATTCTTAGAAATTCAGAGTCACTAAACGGCTGTTTCGTCCCAGTATTAGAGTCCTCAGCAGCGCAAATCCACAGCCTCGCAACCAGGAGTCGAACCCAGGATTTTGGGTTTCGTGTGTGCCGAGATCCGATGATGTACAAGTTCGACTTCTGTAAATCCAGGAGGTATGTAACACTGCACCATGGATTAAGCATTCGCGCGCAAGGTCTCAATTCCTGGGTTCTACTCCTGGTTGTAGTGTCATGGATGTAAACTTCTGAGATGTCTCATGCTTGGACGTAATAGGCCTCTGGTCCTTCCTAATATCCAATAACTGGCTAACTTGGATTGCATTATGATCCCAATAAAACCAATACATTTACTCTTCGATGATCACTTTTCATAAGCTGGCATCCATTGTTTTACGATTAATATGAGTAATATCGATCCACGTCATAAATAATTAGTCCATTCTAGCTATGTTTTGCTTCCAGATGCATCACTTTATTTTTAAATTAATTTCGACAGATTACAAGGATTGTTTGCTAATTTTGTGTCACTTGTTCTTATTGTTTTAGTCTACCTTCGGTCGAAAAATAATGAATAATGAAGACAATGGTGTACAACAATCTGGAAAAATAAAACCTGAGGAATTAAAACTACTGAAAAACTATTTAAAAGGTTTAAAATCAGCGAAAAATCAACAATTACCTAAAATGTAGAATAATGAATTTCTTATTGAAAACAAAGCTATATCTGATGCTAATTAGTTGACTTGGTAATTTTCTCTACCTATCTCTTGCTGCTTAGTTAGCAGATTCATCAAGATCCTATGTTGGCAAATTATATCGAAATATGAGTATATTTGAAGTAACATATAAATTTGGGAGAGTATCGTTTTCCTCAAACAGAGATCATTTTTGAGCAGTATTTTCAAGAAGATAAAAAAATAAAGAGGAATAAAGGAAGGGTAACATTTCATATGTGATACTCTATGAAGAATAAGTTCGAGAACATTTGAGTCACGAGTAAAAATTACACTTTTCCACCCACTTCATCTCTATTGAATTTTAGGTACAGCAATGCCTGAAGAGTGTAGTCCGGATAAGCACCATTATGGAGATACAAATCTAAACATTTAATTTGTTAGCTAACTATCGTCGAGCAAAGTCAGCCTGTAGCTCTTCTAGGGTTAATGTCGGTCGCAAGCCCGATTGAAAGAGTAGGGTTGAGCATGAGGTCAGCAACCCCATCCCATAGAAAACGATTGTGCTGAAAAACGCTGACCAGAAAAATAATTTTAACTCTGCCGTGGGAGCCGATGTATTTTCATTCAGGAGAACTATGACGCCTCATGGTGAAAGCGGAGATTCTTCGAGAGTTGCAACGACGATGCCTCTTCTAACAACCAGAGCAGCAACGAATATGTGTACATGGAATGTCCATTATAATGTGGAGACCGGGATGACCAAATAAATATCTGGGTAAATGAGGAGATATAACTTGGCCATGTTCGAAATAAGTGGATCCCAAGAGATTAGATTAGGGATAAATGCTGTTGTACCCTTTTAATCAAGAAGAATAATGCTCTACACACCAAGGAGGTTGCTCTGGTTGTTACAAGAGAAGTGAAGACATTTAACTGATTAGAAGCTGTTATATTGAATATTAATAATTTCACTGTGTTTTTGGATGTATTTGTTTTACTTAACTTTTGAACTTGTTTGTTTATATCTATGCCTTCGGGTATTTTGGTCTCTCTTTATCTTTGGTATGGTACTTGAGAGCTGCCCCCAAATACCCCGGTACGGCTGAGAGTGGGGAGAGTCCGCTCTCCCTCTCGAAATACTCTCACACGGCCACGCGTATACAGCCTCTGCCAGGGAAGTTCTACTCACTGCCTTCTCGTGACGGGGGTGTTGTTTACGAAAATGAGAGGACGAAAACCGAATGTCCGGCGCTTTAACCGGATCCCAAACCAATGGTGCATCTGGGCTCCAGTATCCTGCGGGAACAAATGGCGTATGAACCAATCGTTGGTCACCGGCTACCATGGGACTGCATCCCCTTACGATGCTCCACTGCCTTGTGGGTCGGACCTTTGGGTCAAAGGCTCTGGGTGTGGCCCCCTAAAATAACCACCTGCTTCGGTCTGGGCACCCGAGCAGTATCACAGCCCATACAAAAATATGATGAACTGCCTATAATTATGGAAACTACTTTACTTGCATCAACTAACAATCAAATGATTATTATTATTTACCACATTATTCACCCTCATTTATACTTATACAGCGGCTCGTCTTTGGTGGAAATTTGACTGTATCTGAACGTTCTCGAGTCACTGTCCGGTTGAAAATTGTATGTTACCACTGAATATGAGTGTCGCACTAAGCGCTAGAGCTGAGGCGGCACTAATCGATTAGATCCCCATTAACAGTCGGTTATGTGCTGTTAGATTAGAGAGTTCCATCAAAGTTAGAAGAAATCGGCGTGAGAAACGATGTCTTTTCGTCATCTCCGCCTATGCCCCGACAGATTGCAGCCCGGATGAATTCTATCACTAGTTAACTGTTCTTCTCCAGAAAGTGCGTTCGGCAGGTATTGTAGTACTAAACGGAGACTTAAATGCTCAGGTCGGGCGTCCTAGACACAGCAGAGAGTCGTTTAGGTGGCCATTGGGGACTTGTTGGTCGCAGGACAGATAAAGGGAACCGTCTACTGCAACTGTGCACAGACCACTACCTGTTTCTGGCTAGCACTAACTTTTGGCACAGTCATCGCCGATGTGCCACCTGGCGTCCTCCCTCTGCATCTCAAGCCTGGACTCAGATTGATCACATCGCGATCAGCTACCGCTGACGTGATTGTGTACAAGACTGCCGCTCCTTTTGGAGTACCTATCTGGACTCTGACCATGCTTTGGTCTGCGCCAATCTTGCCTTACTTTTCAGTGAACAACGGATTGATGTTAGCAAGCTGGTTGCAACTTCTGTTGCAAGTAAGTATCGAACCGAGCTAGCTTCTAGGCTAGCTACCATTCCACCAAAAATTATAGATGAGCATTGGTTGCAATCGCATGACGCCATCAAAATGGCGGGTACAGTCAGTTGTGGATTCGCGAAACGTCCAGCTTATAAACATTGTGTTTCTTCTGGTTCCTTACAACTCATTGTAGCCCGTCGGTCTACTCCGGATGACCGTGAGTTTGACCACAAACGAAGGATATTACGTAGCGAAATTGGGCAAAGCTTGCGTAAGGACCGAGAAGCCTGGTGGTCGGAGCGTGCTAATGAGTTGGAAGCAGCAGCCGCATCTGGTAATTACCGGAAACTCTTCCAACTCATCAGAGCCACTGGCAGCAAGAAGTCTGGTGTGAGCGAAACAATCTGTGCGGATGACGGGATGCCAATCACTAACATCCATCGACGTCTTGGACGATGGGCAGAATTTTTCGAAGGACAGTTCAACTGGCCTTCTGCTCTGGCAACATCGGTCAGACTGTCCTGCCCTCCATGGCCGGTGACGACTGATCCACCAAATGAGACGGAAGTCCGCAAGGAACTCCAACTCTTGAAGTGTTACAAACCACCTGGCCCAGATGACTTACCTCCGGCTCTTTTTAAAGATGGTGGTGACTTTTTGACTAAGGAATTGACGACGTTGTTTACAAAGGTGTGGGAACTAGAGAGTGTACTAACGTCATGGAATGAGTCGACAGTTGTACTATCTCCTAAAAGGGTTCACGTCGTTCCTGTAACAACTATCGGGGGATAAGTCTACTTCCGATTGCGTCCAAGCTATTGGCTTCCGTCATACTTCGTAGGTTGTTCAAAACCCGAGAAAGATTGACTCGCGAGGAGCAGGCTGGGTTTCGTTCTGGTCGAGGATGTATTGATCATATCTTCACCCTCCGCCAAATGTTAGAACACCGCCATACTTATCAAAGGCCAAAAATCGTAGTGTTTCTCGACATCAGGGCTGCCTTCGATTGGTTGAACAGGACTGTTCTCTGGGATTGTCTATTGAAGAAGGGTGTGCCTGAGAAGTTTATTAACATCCCAAAAGCGCTATATAAAAACACCTCAGGCAGAATGAGGGCATACAACCACCTTTCTCCATTGTTCCATTCGAGCAGTGGGGTTAGGCAGGGTTGCACAATCTCACCATTCCTCTTCAACTTTGCCATCGATGACATTCTGGAAACAGCTCTGATGAATGTAAGTAATGGTGGTGTGGATCTGTTGCCTGAAGAAAGACTTCTCGACCTTGAGTATGAGGATGATATTGTCTTACTGTGCGATAATGCCCAAGGCGTGCAATCCACACTTAATCAGTTGGCAATCAGTATCCGTAGGCACGGTATTTGCTTTGCACCTTCGAAGTGCAAAGTACTTCTACAAGACTGGCAGGATTCTAACCCTGTACTCACCCTGGATGGTGAGCAGATAGAAGTAGTCGAGAAGCTGGTGTATCTAGGTAGCTGCATAAGTGCTGGTGATGGCATGAGTGATGAGATCAATGCACGAATAGTGAAAGCCAGAGCGGCTTGTGTCAATCTGGGCCATCTTTGGCGGCTTCGTGATGTTAATCTGTCTGTAAAAGGTCGGATCTACAACGCATCCATGAGAGCAGTTTTGCTCTATGCTTGTGAAACCTGGCCTCTCCGAGTTGAGGATGTTAGACGACTCTCTGTGTTCGATCATCGCTGTCTCCGAAGGATTGCTGACATCCAGTGGCAACACCATGTCAGTGATGCAGAGGTTCGGCATCGTGTGTTCGGGCACAGAGATGATAATGCAATCGATGTCACCATCTTGAAACACCGACTTCGGTGGCTTGGACATGTTTTCCGAATGTCGTCCCAGAGAATTCCACGTCGTGCATTATTTGCCAACTCTGGGACTGGTTGGAAGAAGCGGAGGGGTGGTCAGTGCATGACATGATGTCCTGGCATGAAAGAAAGCTGCAAAGGACTGGCTTCTGTTGGTCCTTCACGACTCCCTGGTTGGGGTCTGAGAGATGGTGCTATACAGTGGCTAGAGACGTTATCAGATATGGCTCAGAAGAGAAGCCAGTGACGATCCTGGTGTAACCTTTCTTACTTTCTTCATAAAAAGTGGTTGTGTCTCCCTTAACTGAAAGATTTCTTCTGATTGTACCTTTCCGTTCCCTCATTATTACCATTATTATTACTACACTACCTTACACCAACCTCTTCTCTATTGCTTTCCTTTTTTTGTTTTTTTCACGCTCCTCACCTTTTTTTCTTTCTTTTCGAATTCTCATTGTTTTGTGTGGCGCATATATATTGGCGCTCTCTTGTACCAATATTTATGTGTTCAAATAAATAAATAAATCTTGGGAGCTTTGCTCCGGGTACCTCAAAAACTGAAGATATTTGGGTCGCTTATTTGCAATTCGGAAATAAAATTTGGTGCCTGAACTGGAGTTTGGGTCTGTTGTTATTTTGGGTTCGTAAGTTTGAGGTAAATCGACATACAGTGCTTCAATAACGAGAGAGAACAAAAGCCTGGACGTCACACCAATGCTGTTCAAGGAGGCATGTAAGGCAATTACAAGATAGGAATCATATGGATCAAAGCATCCTTCGAAACAAAGAAAGAGGGAATCACAATGAATGTTATGTAATGTTATGTACCCACCAATAACGACCATAAAGATCAGTTCTATGAGAGGCTGCAATCGATCATAGCGAGGT